CCACTCAGGTTGACATTAATTTTTGTTCAAAATGTATAATGGTGCATGAATATAACATTCGTTTCCTTGTCCTGTTCTGGTAATTCAAGATATAATTTGGTTGAAATGCACTAGAAATTAAAAATTAAGGGGAGCTAACTCCGTAATTTGCTATCATTCTAACCAAAATTTATCTAGAGATTTCTCGAATTACCAGACACGCAGAAACGAAAGACCTACCATTTCTAACCCAGGATGAGGGTAACTTCAAAATAGGATGGTTAGGTCGGTGGGTTTTTTTTCGGCCATGTTTTGATTTTTTTCAAAATTGCCTGATTCTTACAAAGACTGGCACTTAGAATGCAAACAAAAGAATACATATTTCTTATACATTATCTTCCAAAACATATAAATTTTAATTGGTAAGAACTAGGGATAGTAGTTTTTCATGAAAGTACCAATGCATAACAATGGGCTCCTAATATAAAAATAAGAAGATGTGGTATGATTGCCAATGAGACAACTCTCCACAAGAGACCAAATGACACATGTCAATTTCATTGGTTTTTTTTATGTTAAAAAATCATGATGATCAAATGCTCCAATACAAATTTATTTTTCGATCTCAGTCAAATACAATAATTCATTCATACAGAGATTCTATGCATTTTCTTAGTAACTTAAAATGCACAGACTTTATATGATGAATAAAAATACTGATCAGGAATGTAGTTTTGATAAAAAATAAATTTAGGAAAAATCTATGAAACAAACACTCAAATATGAATGTTTGTAGATGAATGGCAGATGTCAAATGATGATAATGGTTGAAGTATACAGTTTCTTATCTTGACTAGTATCCTAAAATATATCTTTGACTTATCTCTTTTGTATCTTATTTGGAAACAACCTACTGCTACATTTACATTTACATAACTATAATCTAATCCATTAAGAAGAAATGACTAAAGGAATAACAGTACTGTATTTGAGCAGTGGTGGAATTGCCACTGTCAATCGGGGAATTGATGTTCGCAAATGCAGTTTTATTTGCAAAGTGGAGCCATCAAATCCAAAATTGACTTGGCAACTATTCAAATACATTACTGTTAATCCAATTCTAATGAAATGCTTTTTTTGCATTAGGATAAAACGTGGATGGTTGTAACACAATGGACATAAAAAATATCACAAACGCATACTTTCAATGTGGCATAAAATAAAACTAAAATAGCAAAAATAACTTACAACAGACTAAAATATTGAGCAAAAAGGACGGATTAACAAAAATCTAACAAATAAATTACTTCTACCCATATTTACAATTAAACACACAAAAACGTTTCCTCTTATTTACAGTTATTCTGAAATCTTATCAATAATGTACTGAAAAACAATCTAAATGTACAATTTTAAATCATCAATGATATGACATCTCTACAGAAAAATTATACAAAGTATTACAATATATACACATTAAAATGCTTTTAAAGACCAAACAGCCTATTCAGTTCTACCAGTGATTTTTCCTTAAGATTTTGTGTGAAGGTATTTCATGATTTGAGGAACAAAATATGATAAAAAAAATTGGGGGTCACCGACTTAGTTTTGTCACTATAGCAACCTCAGTTTCGTGGTTTCCCGAATATTAACATGATATATGCTTGTTATTTAAACTCTCAAAATATCCCATTATATCAAACCTACAAGCATAATTCTTGTTTCACGTTAAACAGTAGATTTGTGTCTATCAAATACAAGTTCAAGAGTTTAAGACTCTTATTGTTTTGATCTTAAAAAATATGATTTATTTCATTCCCGCCAAAAATAAAACGCAAGAATGAAAAACGTTTCAAGTATTAAAAAATATCTACCAGTGATTTTTTCATAAAAATTTCAAGAAGGAAAGTGCCATGTGTACTCTTCAAAATAAAGCAAAAAAATGTATATGTCACCGACCTTTCAAAAAAGTTATGATGAATTTTCATGTTTTTTTCTCGTTCGTTTTGAAGAAAAGAGTTGTCTTTCTTCAGAACATTGAATCTGACGTCATAGTACAAGTTTTCATTGCTGGCGTACTGTTTGAAAAAATTTGCAAATTGGACGTTTGAAACCCACATTTAAATTTTCAAGAATCAAGAATAACAACTATATTCACCTACTTTATTATCCGGTAATACGAGAGATCATATGTATGTATCAGTATCAGATCTCATGATGTTGTTGCCGCACAAAATTAACCTTCAGACAAATCATCCGTCGGAATATAAAATTGTTAGAAATAACCTTTTACGACGCTTTAGAAAGGAAAGTCTAGATCTATTTTTGTCCTCTCCCTCTCATTTGCAAAATCATTGGAAATAAAAAGAGAAATGAAAGTTGACACTGGCTTACTTACAGACTATTTGACTATATTAGACTAGATGTGTGGGTTTTTTAGTCACGTCAATTTCAGAACTTCGCCCTAGCGTACTCTTTCGCTACTGTTGACAGACGGACAGACATTAGCACGGACGGACTTTTTATACCATTATGTGTCCCGACTAAGACGAGCGTATACAAATTATTCCATCTAGTTTGTGGATTCATTATTTCTGAATATTTAAAATATAAGAAAATTAAAATTATAGGTATAATATATGAATTAAAGTTTTTGATTCTAAAACGTTTTACATCCATTTAACCTATCATAAAATACGATCCCCGTTATTACTACCTCACATGTTTTGAATAAACGAGACAGTAAATATAAAATACAAATACGTTTTTAATTCAAAAATTGGTTTAGAATCTAAGAAATAATTTTCCGTTGAAAACTATAAAGTATTTCTCAAAACAGGATGAAATATTATGAATCTAAATAGCTCATTTTGGAAATTAAAACAACGACAAGGTTGTATGTATAGATTGCCGGCATTGAAAATCGAAATTTGTTTTCAATCTTTCCAGTCATTGTAGCTTTTTGAAAGTGAGAAATTTCATGTTGGATTTTATTCTTTAAGCAATTGTTTTTTGTCATAAGTTAAATTTACAGCAAGTTTAGTTTTTAAAACCGTAAATTTTTATTTTAATTCACATTCACTGAGTTTTTATTTATTTCTTATATTTTTTGCCTTAAGCTTCTTTGAGATCAGGCGAAATCTTTATCATTTCCCCTTGAGACAATTTGAAATGAAACAAATGACAAAAGACAATGAATCTTTATCATTTTTATTTTTACTATAAGATTTTGTCAATCAAGCAGTATAGATAAAATTTAACTTCATTGCAAGATCACCATTATTTTACGAGAATCTTAAAGAAGTAAGTTAATCTCAACATGCATACGTTGCCAGTATATCAAAACTTCTAGAAAGTATTGTTTATCGGCCTAACCTTTTGAAAACTCAGTTTTGAAAATCACATATTAAGTTAAAACTCTAAGCGTAAGTCATATAAATTTACAAGTGTAAAGTTACACGGGCGTACGAGATTTGCGCCGATTTAAAAAAATTTTCGATCTTTAATTTGCGCCGATTTGATTCTTTCATTAGCTCCTATTTTATTTTTTTATCACTAGCCCCGATACTTTATTTGCTATACGAGTAAATACATGTACATGTAGTAAACCTAGAATGTATATTGCATGGTAATATATGGATATAAATATTGTTCCCTTATGTTTAAGATAATTTTGGTCATATTGTTCGAGAACTTCGTTTTGACACGAGAAAGAAAAGATGGACTTCGTTATTGGCAAGTACAACAAGTATAGAAAAGATAAAATGACAAGAAAGGAATATATCAGATGTGTGGCATATAAATTCTCGGCAAAATAATAATTCATTTGTACTTGTATTACATTTTTATGGATTTTATTGTGGTGCTTTGAAATGCTGTAAATAGAATTTTACTCCGTGATTTTAGTGGATGTAAACAGAGTGCACAAATATCTTTTAAATTGACCTATCTTGCTCGAAATTCTACTCCCACCTCCCCTTTGTGAGCAGGGGACAACAGTTATATACATGTTATAATTGACAATTCATAACATATGTACAACTGGCTAACGGAAGAGGTTTATATGATAAATAAAAAAATATCTTTCACCTATAATTTACCTGTACACAATCGGCGCAAATGAAAGACAAAATCGGCGCAAGTGAAGGAAAAAAAGTGAAATGCAGATCGGCGCAAATGCAAAAAGCCGAGTTCAAAATTTATATTTTTATTATTATTTTTATTAGAACGGAGGTTACAGATAGTGTAGTATCTTTTGTGTCCATTTGTGTTTAATTTCCACTAGGTATCAGTGCCATGCTTAATTCCACATTTCTTGGAAGACGTAGTTTTAAGCGTACACTATGTTGGAATCCGTGAAAAACGCGAAATAGGACGTTATAATTTGACGTTTTTTTCATGGCTAGAAACAACGTCATAGAGCTTTTATGTCACTACCAAGTTGCGTTAGTTGATGCGCATCAACAATAGGCTGTTTGGTCTTTAAGTCCATTATCATTAAATAATCTTTAACAATGCATTATACGAATCATTACATGAACTAACATAGTACACCCAATAAGAGGATGGGAGGCACTTTTTAAAGACCCCCACCACCAATAAAATAAAAATTTTCATTTTACTTAAAATTCTACGGAAAATGCAACCCATAATTAATTAAAGATGTAAGTGTGAAAGGGGTCTCTTAGGGGGTAAATAACAAATGACTTTCTAGAGTTGGATGGTTTATAACCAGAGAATATAAAAACTCTGAAATAAAAAAATTACATGCATTAATAACATATCAATATAAAATACACTATTAATATGCATACATAAATATCAGACAATTCATAATTTGGTTGCCTCTCTACACCCACCAGATAAATTTTGAAACAGACCTAAGTTTTCATAGCCCTTCCAGCCATTACTGTAATGACTGATGAAACAACTATCCCCATCATGTTATAATTCAAACACTTGAAATTCATGTGATATTTCAATACATGAAATTATAATCAAAATTCAATAACAGGAGATCATTTCAATCTTCGACTGATCAATTATGGGAAATTTATTGTAGAAGAGAATATGAGGGTGACATTTTAAAGATAAACAGTAAAATAAGGATGCCCCATTTATAAATTTCATCTTTTCATGAGACTCAGTCATCTTTTATAAGAGAGACTTCATGGAAATTTTGAAACCACATCACAAAACTAAAGCTATTCTACTATAAATGTATCACAGACTTATTATGCAGAACAATGCTCAGATCTGAAGACTTGCATGTGGACAGATTTGCAATAGAATGTATTATGATTAAGCTGGAATACAGTTTTTGAAGATTGCTCACAACCATTCTTTAACATCATTTATTTTCTCCATCACATAGCTATCTTTTGTTGTTTTTGGCCTGGTTAATCCTAAAAAAAAAGTCACTATATTACAACTTAAGTTATGAAAGAAGTTTCAGCAATATGGTCTATTGAAATGTAAACCAATGAGAAAAGTTCTAATGGACCAATCACATTGAAGTATTTGTAGATATGCATATCATAAAAGAATTATCATGAAATAAAGTAATTTTGTTTACAGTGTAGGACGGGTATGACTTCATATTAGCAGGCCTTGCAGATATAAAATTTTTGAGTACCATAATCATACTCAGACTCAGAATTCCACCAGTCAAAAAACTGGATTTGGTGTTTCAAGCACCAAAAATTTTTTTACTCTGAGTACTGAGTAAAGTTTTATGACCGAAAGGCCAAGTTAAGTACTTTGAGTTTGCTTTCAGTAACTGTAATCGTATTGTATCATTCAAATTGATAGGATTAAGAGATTGACTTATTGTAGAGACATGTCTTGACTATGGATGAAGACCGTATGTTGAACTCTACTGTCTTTTATTGGGTTTTGTCTCTTTGACATGAACCCAACCAACTTCTCCTTTTTTCATATTTCCTATACTCTTCTGTATCTTAATTAATGTACTGAAACAAACAAAAAATTACTTATATTATATCGTATTTAAAGTATGTACACATTAAGTAATATTCAAATTATTTTCAACTACAAATTACTGAGAGCAGATCTTTGTAAGAAAGAATGCACTCATATAAAGTACAGACAACACAAAAAACATTAATACATACACACAAAAACACAGTGTTAATAAATTAGCTAGTTAGTAGAGTTACTATTAATTTAAGAATATAACCAATTGTGGATGGTTAGTTGAGAAAACATTACAACTATAGAATACATTCTATTATTTAACTTGGAAACTATCTTAATTTGCCATTTAAGAATCTAATGCATTGTGGGTATTATTTGTATGCATGGCAGGGTTAAATAAAAAGTACCTTCCAATCCCCCATACATTTATTTCTTGAATAGCCCTGAGGAAATTCAAAGTAAAATTAATTTAAAAAAAACTCCCCATTTTTTCCCTCATTTACTTAACATGACCCAAGAAAAAAAATTAAAAGTGAATTCATCCTATGTGTAAAGAAATAAAATTCACTAAAACTATGATACTTATATGAATTCATGCCATTAAGTGTTTTTGTATTTGTTTTTTAAGTATTTGTACTACATTAACTTAAAATTAACAAAAGCTTAAAATCAAATTTAACAAAAGCATTATTTTTCACACAGAATAGCTAGCTACCTATTACACAAACACACAAAAACTGTTTCTTTTCACACTAAAAGCTGGTTCTACTGTAAAGCTATCTGAAGCTGCATTTCAAACAACAAACCTGCCAGAGTTGGAGAGAGTTCATTAAGTAACTGAGGTATATAGCTAATTGTATTGCAGTTATATACCAAGTACCATAGTCTCTTTTAAATCTTATCAAAAGTCTACAAAAGGCTCAATCAGATCTTTTAATACAAAGTTAAAAAATGTAACACATCCATTTCACAAACTGTTTAAGATTATTATTACATAAGTGTGCACTGTTATTATAGAAATTAATCAATATAGTCTATATTAATTCTAAACTTTAAAAGTGATTACCAATCATACAGTATCTATTTTAGAACAATGTAGAATTACACAAAAATCTCAAATTGCTAATTTTCCATCTTATTTTTTGCAATACCAAAATTTGACGCTTTTTTAACATATCATTTTACAATAAAAAACAATACAATTATATCAGAATACAATTTGTTATCAAATGTACATTTCAGTATTATAAAATTAATATTTGAACTATACTGTGTAGACTTTTAAGAATTACAAATAAAAACTATGAACGAATTTTTTTTTTTTAAATTCAGAAAGTATTCCTAAAGAATCTCTTGTATTAATTACGAAAAGTGCAGATAAGAAGTTTTTTGTAATATTAGTAAAAACTCTGGCAGGTTGGTACAATAGCTACCTGGAAAACCACTCAACATACTCGCTCTGTGAAGGTGGCGTGACATATGGTATTTGATTTAGATAGTGACGCATGCCTCCATAACCCGGTGCTACAATCGTGTTTCCACGATTTAAAACACCTGTACCATTGTCTGTTTTACTATTTCCTCTTCTTCTACCCCCACCTAGATAAAAATAGAAGTGATGCAATATAGACCACACCTGGCAGGTACTAATATACTCACCTTGACAGTATCCATTCTGTTGGAATAAATAACTTGTGAAAATTATCAAATCTTTATCATAGAAAACTACATCTATATAACACAGAATTTGATCAAATAGAAGCACACTTAGATTCATTAGTACACTTAGATTCACTAGTAATCATAGTGTACTTGTTTTCCTGCATTTCAAGGAAAAGGTTATCCACAAATTTAAGAGTTCAATAATATTAAAAAAAAATTCTATAGGCTTGTATGCACCATAACACCATAAATTAAGTATCCATGAAAATATAATTTGTCCAATCTAGGAAAATTGATACCCATGAAATAAATGAATTCACTGTACTTGAGAACCCTGACACAGCAGTCTTCACTCATTCAAATTAATTTGAACACTTGACCAGAAAATGGTGGATAATTTTAAAGACTAATAATTTTGTAGGCGTAAATTTTCAAAATAAATTTGTCAGTTCCTTTGAATGCTATGTTGTTATCTTCAGACCAAATTATGACAAAGTGGATTCATTTATATAAATAAAGGTTGTCCATCCAAACATGTCTCTATTGGTAGATTCCATCAAAAAATGACACTGTTGCAAGATTTAAAAAAAACTACTTACTGTATATTGTGTGTCCACATTTTTACATGAAAATGAATATATAAGAATTTAAAATTCAACATACCAATCATCTGTATAAAGCAATTTATAAGCACTGTATGGGAAAGTTTAAATGCAATTTGAAAATTGGATAAATTCTTCTGTTTTGCTTTAAATGGTTTGTTAAACTTTATTTAAAAGAATCAAAATCCACATAGGCTAAAAGAAAAAATATTCAAAAAGCCAAATATTTCCCTAAACCCAATTGGATGATACACTGATACTGTGTTCATGCTTCACTTGCTAGAATCTGACAATTTCTTCTTTTACTATATGTTCTAATGATCTCTTCGGAATCCTTAGGATTTGCCATAATGTTACATTGCTTTAAAAAATATATAGGCAGGAATTTCATTGGTTGAGACAATAATTTGATTTTCAAAAACAAGAAAGAATGAAGTCAGATCCTTGTTAACTAAGCATGGACAAAAGATTTGTATTTCAGTCAGTTTGGCCTTAGCCCTGATCTTGATCACAACACATTTAACAACTTGCTTGTAAAGCAAGACCGAGAATATCACTATGGAGATATGAAACTATTTTAAAGACACAGCTTTGGGTATTTTTTTTTTGGGGGGAGGGGGGGGGGGGGGGGGATGAGCCACCGGAATAGGTCATTATTTTCAGCTTCATGATATATGATAAGTTCCAGAAATTAAGAAGAAATATGTGACAAAGTTGCTCATCAAATCATAAGTATCTGAAACTAATCAGATATTTTTATTTTCCACAATGCAATTAAAACCACTGTCGTGAATGATTAAATGCTTCAGATATTTGTAAAAACTATTTATCTCTCCATGAAATAGCATAATCAAGATAGCTATAGGTATATTTTTTTTAAAGAAAATATATGATAGGGTATGTATTTTTGTTATTCAAAATATATAAAAAGGGTAGGGTACTGCATGTCTTAGCTTCTCACTCCTACCTAAAAAGGATTGAAGTGTACCCCCAAAGTAATGTGCAATATTTCTGTGCATTATGATCAAGATCCAAGCATGCTACCCACACCACACACATCCATTGTATGATAAAATCTACCATCAAAATAGTTTTAAATGACTACAATTGACAAACCTCTCTGTAGTGCCTCAGGAGTATTTTCATCATATATGGCACCTCCATTCCAGATGGGCGAAGAACCTAGATGCATCGTTGTAACCTTCACTGGTACCTGTGTTTTATACTGACTGATTCCTGGCAGTGTTCCCTCAACCATGTTAACCTTCAAAACACAATGCATTTATCCTCAGGAACACACGTAATTGTTTACTTAAAGCATGTGTGCTTATATCAAAACATGTTTATGTTAAATTTGATTGGTAAACATTTAGTTATTACCTGTTCAGGTAATATTAATCATGATAATTGCATACAAGAAATTAAGTGCAAAATTATAGTAAAGGTGACGTAATAAATAGTACATATATATAGAATTTGTACTTTAACTTATAGAATACTTTTCCTATTGTAGATTATATGTATATGTGACGGCAGCCTTCGATGACAGCAAATTGGAAATTTGTGTTTTATTTGTAATAAAATAAGCTTCTATGCTGTTGTGGCGACCTGATAACCAAATAACTGTGTTGAGTTTTCTTTATAAATTATTTATGTTCATTTGTAGTATTGAATAAGAACATAAATAAAATTCACCTAATTTTATATCAATTTGACACTTAACTTTTACAACTATCATAGTCACATTGGATTCTTTTCACTTAAATATTTCCTGATGAATTCCTACCTGATCCATGTAAAAGCTTTGCTTTACACTTCATTGTAACAAGTCAGGATTTCAGTGGTTGTTTGTTGTTTTATATCATATTCATTCCTTATTTTGTTTATAAATCGGGGCATTGTTTTTTTTGTTTGAACTGTTTTACATTTGTCATGTCAGGGCCTTTTAAAGCTTGCTATGCAGTAGGGGTTTTACTCATTGTTGAAGGCCGTACAATGACCTATAGTTTCTAACTTGTAAGTCATTTGGCCTCTGATGGAGAATTGTCTCATTAGCAATCATACCTCATCTTCTTATTTTTATAGTAATAGCAGAGTTATTAAACTGGCAAACTGTTTTGACCTATCAAAACCTTTCCCATGAACTAGGTGTACTTTTGTTGATCACAGGGATGGCAATGTCTGAGGCCAATGTTAGAAATTGACACCTTTTATTTCATTTGTGATGAAATGATTCTAAATATATCTGGTTAAAAAAATTGACTATAAATAAAAGTATTTCTAGGTAAATTCAATTTTTGACTCATTGCAAGCACTCCAATAAATTTTGAAGTGCTAGCAGTTCATTGTTGATAAATACCTTACAAAAACAATTTCTATAATTACCTTAGAGAATTTAAAACCTGACAGAATTACAAAGTTAATAAAAACATGGAAAGATTTTGAATCCATATTCATGTGACAAAAAATCCAAGTTAGGATATTTTATTGGCAACATCACTTTTCAGTTCAATGCTGCCTCTTGACCCATGAAATATAGCACTGCTCCCTTCATCAATGATCATTGGAAAATAATTTGTTTTACCTAAATCCTTGTCCCTGATCCCCCAACTAGAAATACCTGTTGTTGGTCCATGTAATACAATTCAGCTTTGGTCCTTTCTTCCTCATTGACAGGTATACCATCAATAACCAGTAACTGTTTTAATCTGAACACTAACAGTGGTCTGTGAAGATGACGTCTGGCAGCCTAGAATTTTAACAATAATAACAGGGCTTAAACTTCGAACTCATGCTATAAAATATATATATGTAACCTTTTCCAACTTTTATTTTTTGAAACAGCATAAATATGAACATGATTAATCATGGAATGCTATAAATATGAAACTGGTCAATCATGGAATGCTATAAATATGAAACTGGTTAATCATGGAATGGCTTTAGTATAAACCTGATTAATCATGGAATGTTATAATTTGAAATTGGTTAACCATGGAATGGCTTTGGTATAAACCTGATAAATCATGGAATGGCTTTGGTATAAACCTGATTTATCTTTAATTGCTTTGGAATGAAACTGATTAATCATGGAAAGGCTTTGGTATGAAACTGATTAATCATGGAATGGCTTTGGTATAAACCTGATTAATCATGGTATTGATATGAAACTGATTCTTTTATCAACAAGTACTGAGAATAACTTACAGGATTGTTGACCAAAGATATTTCTATCATGTTTACTAAACCATCTAACTTCTCCAGTTCTGATACTTCCTGCAATAAAATAAAAATATGTTACAAACCCTTACACAAAAAGAGTTAGCAATGTGTTAAAGAGCAGACTGTTGTGATACTAATTCTCACAATTCTCACCCATAAGAGAGTTTAATTCCATAAAACTTAACTTTTGCCTTTCTCCAATTTACCCTTTTTCTCAATACTCCAATCCATTTTTATTTATCCTCATTTTTGCATTTCTCACCCAATGTTTTGCAATCTTCTTTTCTGTAACAGTTCTCATTCATTCTTATCTTTCTCTTGCAGTCATTATTTAACTGTACTTATTATGCTAATTCTACTAGGGCTTGTTTTTCAATCAGTTTATGAAACAAGTAACATTTGAGTTACCATATTCTGTTTTTGTACTTCTGTCAAAATACTAATATTTGTACTTATTTCTTTTTTGTGGAAACATTCTTTACTGTATATTCAGAAATTATTTCGATGTTTTTATTAATGCGAATAATGCAACTACTTGTGTATCGCAATAATAAGAACTCACATTCTGATATCAAAAACATATATCTGTATGTAGCTTTTCCTACAAATCACAATTATTCAACTCACTTTTTTGTTAATTCTTCAAAAATCGCAATAATAAATGCACGCAATAATTTCTGAATTTTCAATATTTCCTGGGATTCTTAATCTATCTATCTTTTAGAAGTTAGAAATAAATGTTTAAAGGGAAAAGTTTGAATTTCTTGATTTCAGTGCTCTAAATCTATCAAAAGTGTGAATAGCAATACTTTGACAATGCTTTTACAAATATTGATTGATTTTTGGTGTTTAACACCACTTTCAACACACTCAGCTTTAAAATGGCATCAACTTTTTATTGGTGGAGGAAGCCATAGTAACCGGTAAAAAACATTCAACCGTCGGGAGGAAAACTGGCAATTATAGTAAATTAAGACTGAAGTCAACGCACCTTTCAATGAGCAGGTTCTAACTGAACAACCTCAGTGTTGACAGGCTATATAGCTAGTGATCACTATAGAACTACTTATAACACAAATAGAATAGTTATTATACCTGAACTCTGTTAGATCCAAGGTAAAGCCTCTGCAGATGTTCTAAGCAATGTAAATTTGATAAATCTCTAATACGATTCTCTTCAATATGAAGTTCCTGTAAATTCCATTGGTTAATAAAAGAGGTCTCAAAAATGTTCTTTATCTTATTTCTATCCAGCACTAATTCTCTTAAGTCATGCAGTCCCTCTAATCCTTCTACTTTCAGTATTTCATTCCCTGAAAATGTTAGAGTCAAAAGAATAAACATTAATGATTCGAAATGCTTAGAGTTAACGTTTAACCCTAGTTTTTGGTGTAGTTTAATGTTGCTCAGTCAATAGTATAGTATGTAATGTTTGTGGACTTTTGTTTGACTTTTCACCATTTCTAGTCTTTTAGCATGGTATTGTCGGTTTTTCTTTGACTTAAGATTTTTGATTGTCCCTTTGGTGTCTTTTGCTTCTTTTTAGTAAGTAAGTAATGAATTTATTTTTAGAGGGTTACACAGTCTAGTGTATTTTTATGTCAATATAACTAAACCGTCATTCATTGTGAATTTAATCATCTATTTTTTGTAAAAATAAATAGATTACATAGAACATACAGTCATAAACACAATTTATTTTTATATAGTTGTGGTAACATTGTTTTGTTCTTACAGCATTTAAAATTCATCTTGTAGACTGATTCATTGATTGCTGTCTAACATCTTATCAGCAACTGTACATCGTTATCTAGTAGACAATTTTCTTGTTTGTGGTCAATTCTTTTCACAATGTTACAGAAAATTAATAAAAAGGAAAAAGAAATTGGTCAAGTGAAAGTGCTTCAATCAGGTAACTTTATCTTAAAATCATCCAAGTTTCACCAAGGCAACCAACAATTTGAAAAAGTTAATGTGACAATATCAGCAAAACTTTATTGTGACAAATAAGCAAAACTGAACATTGCAAAGTATCTTATTATCTTATTTAAAAAAAATAAGGTTTGAAATCCCCTACATATCTACAACTAGCACACATTTATTTTACAGAATCACTATTTACTTTTTCAGAATTAGACATAAAACATTACCTTGTAAAAACAAAGCCTTGAGTGATGTAAGTCTACCTAACTGTAAAGCAGCCATATCTTTTATATTGTTATACCTAATAATGTAAAACATAAATAAATTCAGAATTAATAATATACCTATATATTTTCTTTTTTATATACACAATGACATTAAATGTAAAACTGAACATTCTTTTTTTTATAAATACATTTCAATTCCTGATACATGCAATCATCTTAATAAGTGAGGTCAACAGTCATAATTCTGAACAAGAATGTGTCCATAGTACACGGATGCCCCACTTGCACTATCAATTTCTATGTTCAGTGGACTGTGAAATTGGGGTCAAAACTCTAATTTGGCATTAAATTTAGAAAGATCATATCATAGGGAACATGTGTACTAAGTTTCAAGTTGATTGGACTTCAACTTCATCAAAAACTACCTTGACCAAAAACTTTAACCTGAAACGGGACAGACGGACGGACGATCAGACGGACGAACAAAGAGACGCACAGACCAGAAAACATAATGCCCTACCACTATTGTAGGTGGGGCATAAAAATCTCCCAATTCATTAAAAGGAATTTTTAATTTACATTCAAAATGACTTCACAACAGTACTCAACTATTTTGAATAAAAATTGTAAGAAATAAGTGTATCAAATATCATTCATATCCAAAATAGACCAGTCTCACTGAAAATATTATTACAAATTTTGTAACATATTATTGCGAACCAAATGAAAGTCTTCCACAGAGTCGTCTGCTCTTGACCAGGGTATTTAAACTTTTGTCTATTCTCTTGTCCTATTGAATAAATACAATAGCTATTGTTCTCTGTGTAGTTTTTTCACTGGGACCTTTAAATTTCTTCTAGGAGAAATCTATGACTCATTGATTAATTTTCCTGACCAAAAAATTATCTTCTTTTTTTGGGGGAAAAAGTTGTATAAACTCACATAAACTGCATGCAATATTGTATTTAATCAATATCAACAATATATTTTCAATCTGTTCAATATAAACACTGATTTAATTATAAAAAGTTTATTTCTGACAAAATTTTTAGTATTGTTCCAATGAATTTGCATGTTTTTGTTGTTGTTCAGTTATAGAATACATTTATCAAGACCTTAATTTAAACACAATAATTTTCAAGTTTTTATTTGTCAAACACACAAAAAAAAGCAAATTTTAATAGGGAAAATATAAAAAATTTGTTCAGAAATCAACTTTTAATTTTTGAATCAGTGTTTATATTGAAACTATTACAAATGAATTATTGATATTGAATAAATACAACACCACATGCAGTTTTTTTGAGTTCTTATTTAGTATTTGTACATGTATTTTCATTTTTGACAGTTCAATTTTTTGTTCAGGTAAATTAATCAGTGAGTGATAGATTTCTCTTGGAAGAAATTTAAAGGTCCCATCAAATAAACTACACAGAGAACAATAGCTATTGTATTTATTAGATGGGACAAAAGAACTTACAAAAGTTTAAATCGACAGGTAACTTGCAGGTGAATCTGTGGAAAAGTATCATTTGGTTCGCAATAATTATGTGATAAATAATAAAATGCTCTGCTGGGTACAGCTTGATACGACCGCAGAGGTCGAACCCTGAACAGTTGGGGCAAGTATGGACACAACATTCAAGCTTGATACAGCACTGAATTTGGATTGTGATTAAATATTTGACACAGCATAAGTTTCTGACACAGAATGAATGTGGTCTAAGAACTTAAAATTTTTTAATTTACCTATTCAAATCATATCATTATTATTTGCTTTTATATATGTAAGCCTCAAATCTATGTCCAGCCTCAAATCTATGTCTTTTCTGCAAATCTATGTCTTTTTTAATATTGTGTCATAGACGTTCCAAATTTATGTCCTTTATTGTCTCAAATCTATGTCCTATATTGTCTCAAATCTATGTCCTACATTGTCTCAAATCTATGTCCTTTATTAACTCAAATCTATGGCCATTTTTGTCACAAATCTATGTCCTTTATCGAAATGTGGTGACGTAAGACATAGCAAGACGTAATCAAGTAAAAAAATATGTGTAGTTTCATTCTTGAAGGCACATTAATTAAGTAACATGTATGCTCGTTATGCCAATAATTTGTACACAGAATTATGTTGTGGTTATTGAATGTTGATGTCATGGTACGCAATGGATTTAAAAAAATACATAGATACAAAACCAGAATAGTTTCACCAGAAAAAAACATTTTTTAATAAGATAGTGGCACAAAATGTCGTTGTTAAACAGGCAATAAATGATACCTCAAACATTTTTATGTGGTACCTATACATTGAAACATTGAACAAATAGGTGTATGTGTTTACAGATTACGATACAGAATAGGTTCAATTCATTGTTGAAGGCCATACATGTATCTTTAGTTGCTTGTATACAGATGTCATTTTGTCTCAGGTTGTTTATTAACTTATATTTCGTTTTGTTATCAAGACGTAATGAGTAAAGGGAAGTAACGATAATTACTACAGAACAATTAAACAAGGGATCAAGAAAAGCAAACAATTTGAAAATGTTGTAGTTTTACAATAAAATGTAAATCATACAATAATTACACACGCATGTAAAATTTTTATGCACACACACGGAGAACACATCCCAACTTAACATTGAATAATGGGAAATGACTTAATAAAACAAAAATCATATAAGGCCGTACTTATTAGACTGGCATGAATTTGCGCATGGCGAAACAAACTGGAAAAAGATTTAAGAAAAGGACACAGATTTGAGGCCGTATCTTTTAAACGAACATAGATTTGCGAATGACGTCACGATTGAAAACAAATTTGAAAATAGGACACAGATTTGAGACCGTTTCTTTTTTAACGGACATAGATTAGCGATTGATGTCACGATGGGGCACATATTTGAGAAACGGACACAGATTTGAGGTTAACATATATAAATCAGAAATAACCAATTTAAAATGGAAAATTTTAAAGAAAAAAAAAGGAAAAAAAGGGAAAAAAAATCCCTCCCCCAAATTTTTTGAACCCCCTTATGATTCATCACCCCCAAACTCAATCCCAGCCTTCCCTTTGTGGTATGGTACCTTGCAGTACAATTTCAGAGAGATCCATACACTTGAACACAAGTTATTGTCTGGAAACTAGAAAAATGCTTGTTTTTAGGCTCCTTTTTGGCCCCAAATTCCTAAACGTTTAGGGCAATTACCCCCAAACTCAACCCAGCTTTCCCTTTGTGATATGGAACCTTGTAGTATAATTTCATAAAGATCCATACACTTACACACAAGTTATTGTTCTGAAACTAGAAAAATGCTTGTTTTTTGCCCCTTTTTTGTCCCCTAATTCCTAAAATTTTGAGGCATTACCCCCAAAATCAATCCCAGCATTCCCTTTGTGATATGGAACCTTGTGGTACAATGTCAGAGAGATCCATACACTAACACATAAGTTATGTCTGGAAGTTACAAAAATGCTTATTTTTGGCCCCTTATTCCTTAACTGTTGGTACCATAACCCCCAAAATCAATCCCAACCTTCCTTTTGTGGTATCGAACCTTATGGTAAAATTTCATAGAGATCCATTCACTTAAACTAAAGTTAGAGTGCGAAAAACCAATGTGTCTTCGGACAACGACGACGACGACGACGACGCCGTCATACCAATATACGACCTCAAAATTTTTTTGCGGTCGTATAAAAACCACAAAATTTCATACTTAACAAAACAAATTTCCATTACGCAAGACCTCATGGCAAAGATTCAAGAATTTATAAACAAAGTAAATGTCAGTTATCCATGACAATAGGGATACAGGAATAAAAGTTGTTTCACAGTTAAAAAACATACTGAAGATTTGTTTTAAAACTTACCCAAGATGTAAAACCTCTAAGCTCTCCATAACAGGTGTCATAGAGTCTGTACTGTTATTGTTAAAGAAATCTCCTGCTCTGTTATTGGATATTGTGCTTACAATGGCAACTCTTTTGTTCTGTTGTGGCTTAGGACGAGGCATGATGCATTCGATATGATTGTGATTTAAACAAAGTACCTGTAACAGATTTCAATTATGTCATGATTACTGATATCATTGTAAAATAATGTCTGACAGTAGAGCCACAAGTGTTCCATGTACACTAAAGTGAAATAATTCTTATGAATTAAGTAATCAAATAAAACTTGTTGCTGATCATTTTGCATATTCTGAAAAAAAACATTCCTTTTCTGTTTGCTGTCTAATCTTAATGTTGCATAACTATATAATGTAAATCCAACAGACTGAATTATATTTTGAATGTGCTAGTTCATAAATTAATAGTTTACGGCAAGTGAAGTCATCTTACTGGTAACCAGGTCTTGCTGTCATAAAACTTTTGAGTACGATTATTGTACTCAGACTCAAGTATTAACCAATCAAAATACTGCATTTGGTGTTTCGAGCACAAATTTCGTACTGTGAGTACTGAGTAAAGTTTTATGACAGAGAGCCCAGACTTATAATCAAAATCTTTTACTCATTATAATTTTAAAGCAGCAGCAAATACCCTTTTTAAGTATTTAATGAGTCATTGTCAGTTTTTGTGGGTGTGGTTTTCCATTTTCATTGAGAAGTAAGAAAAATATCATTCATAACAATAGACTTTAAAAAGAAACAAGCACACTTTTTTGGCATTATTTTCACACCTTTTAAAAGTCTCTGCCAGTATGATATCACAAAAACTTGAAGCTGTAAGTTATGCTATAAATACCTACCATACAAAATTGAATTTTTGTACTTACCCGTAAATTTGGAAGATGAATCAGTCCACTAAATGATGTCAAATTGTTGTGCTCAAGATTGACGCTGAAAATTTAAAAATCAAGGCTAACTAGTTTGTTTATTTAATGGATACTCATAGAAAGTAAAATATGTGCAATCAATATCAAATTCTAGAGACTACATTCCGGATTAAAAAATAATACTCACAATTGTTAATTTAATACTGATATAAAAGGATCATGCTATAAATTCAATTTTATTTTTTATGCAAACAATCATAATGTACAAATTAAGAATGAACATCTGTTTCTTGTGTAACCCTGTAGAAAAAGATTGGTAAGGGTTGTTCCACTTACACATATGGTACCTATCAACTGATCAACTGAAAATGTATCATATATTTCAATTCTGAATCCTAGTTTTTGGCCCCGCCCCAATGAACAACAATGTTTTCTGAGTGTCATCTCTAATAGAAGTATACCTGTTCAATTTATCAGTGCTTTTCCATTATCGAGATTTTTCTTAATTCTTACACTCACAAAAATAACATATGATCATGACAATAACTGCTGAAGATAGATCTAAAAAGTCTAAGATTTTATTATTACCTTCTAAGATTGAGGAATGTATCATTGAGACCCAAGTCAACAATACGAATGGCACTGTTTGGCAGATCTAGTTCTCTAACATCTTCAAAGTTAGAATGACCTAATTTCTCTGCAACAAAATCTGGCGTCAACCGACCACCAAAAGTATCCTTGGCTATACTACCCTCAGTTGCTTCCTACAAGCAAAACATTCTTATAATCTATATTCAAAACATATTAAACTCAAGTGACAAAGTATGGTATGGATCTTTTTAGCTTTTATCAGTGTCTCGTAAAAGACACATTCCCAGTGAGAATGTTTTGAAAATTATGTAGAATACCTAAAACTATCAACAAATCCCACTTATTATAATATAATTCCAAAATGATCAGATAATCAAGGTCAACTAAGTAATATTGATTTCAATACCTTATAAATCTTTGTGTTTACCCTTCATTAAATCAAACTGAACTGACAATCTGGAAGAAACCTACTTAAAGGTAAGTTTTCATGTTTTAATAACAAGTGGCAGAGGTGTAGATACTTTGTTTACCTTGTCTGCTTGTTTTGAGAAATTATATGATAATAGAACTACTGTGGATTCATTTATTTTTGTGGATACACATTTTTGTGAATTAAGAAAATATTGCATTTTTGTGGATATTTGATTTCGAGCTTCTGCCAAAGTATGCATACAAGCCTATAGAAAATCTGTACCTCATTGATTATCAAAATTAGAATTTCTTCTATACCCACAAAATGCACAAAAATTGGTATCCCAAGAATAATAATGAATCCCCAGTATGTCATGTGACTACTTACAATGGCTAATCCATCCAAAGCTTTTAATGTCTTTAGATGGTAAATAATAAACAGTCTGTAGTTATCCATTTCATGTACAACAGGATTTCCATACATGTCTATAATCACCAGATTGGGTAATGTCTACAAACAGAAAAGAAATCAATCATTCACTGACAATAAATATTACTATAAAAAAGAATAAATAATATCAATATACTTGTGTCATAGATATTCTGTTATTCTTTGCATCAGCTCTCAATTCAGTCTTACAGAAGTAACTCATAAGTCATCTTAAAAACACCTTATTTTCATTTGGTGATATATCTATTGTTTTCTATATCATTTAAGGCAGTACAGTCAAACCTGGGCAAACTGGACCCTGAATAAACCAGTGAAGTAAAATTAAAATCTTAATGCAATGAATTCAAGTGAAAGTTAAACTGACGAGTGGGAGACTGATGCTGCCTAGGCCAATTTGACATACGAGGATATGTAAAAACGGTATAATACTATTTCTTTGGCTTTCTGGGTACAACCCACTGTCTGAAATTTCAAAAGCCAATGAATATGATGACTGAAGACACCATTGTGCGTAATAAATTGGTGAACAGGCAGGGAACACTTGTAATGTTTATTTCACATTATTTTCACACAAATCATGACATAGCTTTTAATAAATAGATTATTACTGTATATTAAAATATATATGTCCCATAGATTACTGCTTTTTTCTTAAACTTTGGTTTGGATAAAAAAAGAAATGAAAAGTGTTATCTTACCTTCAAAAAGAAGATTTCTCGAACAGAATTCAGTATATTATTGCCCACATATAACTCTACCAATGACATCAGTTTCTGTACACCAGCAAGTGAGACAATTTTGTTATTCTCCAAAGACAGATAACACAAGCAATTGAGAAACTGGATCCCTGTATTTTCTAGTGTGGAGATATAGTTTGAGTCCAGACTTAATCTGCGTAGCTGACTCAGTTTACCGATTCCCTCTAGCTTTGATAAACAGTTATTATCCAAATATAATTCTTGTAACTTTAAACAGTTTTCAAGTCCCTACAATATGAAATTTGAAAATAAAATTATATTAATCTATGTACATGTAATGTGAAAGTAAATTATTAAATAGAAGCAGGAAACTTATGCTTACACTAGTAATATTGAAAATAACCTTTAAATTTAACCATGCAGAAATAAGAAAAATAAATATTTATTCATTTTATTTGGATATAAGTCACTGATTTGTTGTTTTAGCCTAGTCCTAAGTCGCATATCAGATCAACGGAAAATTGATATTTCAAAAGGCATTCAAATTCTAAACATCTGAATAATGAACAATAGTATAATTTGTTTGATAAATTATAAAGATTTTAATTTTACAGATTAATATTACATATAGCCATTCCATCAATTATAATTAACTTGCCTCTATCTTAGTGAGATCATTGTCAGCAAAAGATGCCCACTTTAGATTATCTAGTTTTTCCAGTCCTGATAACTTTGTTAAATGCTGTTTGTCTAAGTTTAGCGATGTAACCTAAAAAAAAAAAAATGTTGTTAACATTATTGTTACTATGATAAAAACCTGCTCTCTTGAAAAAACAAATTTACTCTTGTCAAGTAAGAAATTTTTGTGATTCATACTTTTTATTATACTTACAAAGATTTATAAAACAATATACCAACTACTTCTAAACACCATATTACCACTATATTCTAGATATATTTTCAGATTAAGATAAATCATGAAATTATCCACATGACTAAATTTGATCTTTCAGGTAGATTAACTCTAGAAAATGGCAAAATTAGAACTAAGTGAAAATAAATCACTTTTAAGTATTGCATTTTCCTAGCAGGTGCACTATTACTGAAAAGGCTTTTTCATGAAGATTTTTTTTTTTTATAAAACCATCATTCTAAAGCATATAGAACTTAAATGACATGGTAGTCAATACATATAAATATGCAACTATCATTATTTTTTTTTATTATAAAAGTCCCAAGTCAGGAACCTTGTCAAAGGTTTTCATATCCTTGTATATTTGGAGAATTGGGGTTTTCATGGCAGATCTTTGATTGTTTCTGTTAAATTTATATACTTTTATCACTTAAGACAATTTAGAGCTTGACATATTGTACAGACACATGTCTATTGTTGAAAACTGTATGTTGCCCTCTAAATGTCTTTTGTTTTTTTTTGTTGTGTGTTTGCTATCTCATTGAGGTATAAATAGAAGATGTGGTTTAATTGCCAATTAAACTACTCTCCACAAGAGACCAAATGACATAGAAATTAATAATTTTAGGTCACATACCCATTATTACATTTTATTCATGGGAAAAGACAATTATTTTTAAAAGTTTTTTACCTTGAGAAACCAGTGGCTATCATGTTCATTTATTTTCTCTGGTTTACTCCGACTGATTTTCTCCAGTATATGTGGTGTTGTCATCAGACTTAATGATCTGGGTTTATTGTTGTCTGTCCGTGTATGTGTCAGTAACGACAAATGGGATATCCGAGAACCAGCTGCAATACGTAATGCACCTGTAGCCTCAGTCTCAGATACACAAGAGCCATCTAATAATGTCAGCGACTTTAATCTTCCTATGATTCTAAGACGAATATTTTCTGGCTGAAAAACGACAAAATTGAGATTTAATTTTATGATCATGATGTACAATTTATTACTTTAATTTCATATAGTTTACTGTGGATTCATGATGATTCGTGGTATACCAATTTTTGTGGATTTCGTGGGTAAGGGTTAACCACAAATTTAAATGTTCAACGAAGTACAAGTTTCTATAGGCTTGTATGCAGACTTTGGCAAAACCAAGAAATCAAATACCAATGCTAATACAATTTTTCCTCAATCTACGAAAATAAATAAATTCACAGTAATTATAAACTATGATACTTAGTGTCAAGCATCACAAAGCATAAAATTACCTATATAAACTGTTATCACAGAGATATGTCTCGCCTTTTTGTAATTTTGATAATGCAGATGTTGAAATTAAAATAGCAATACTTTAACATGTAAGTTATGTAAATATTCAAAGTCAATGAACCATGACTGAAGGTACATGGCTAAACAATCTCCATGAAATGAGATGTGCCAATGCTTATACAACTGCATACCAAATACCATTGACTTATTACAAGTCGTTCCCTTTAAACAGTGTTCTCCCCAGGCCCTTAAAGGACCGCGATGTATAATTTTCTACCGTGGTGGTATCGTTCTTGCCGCGATGTATAATTTTTCTCCGTGGTGCTAAAATTTTCGGGAAAAAAATCGTAAATCGGTAAAGTTTTAAACGACTTGTTAAACCTTTTCCGTGGGTATAAAATTTCAGATGAAAATTGACCAGTTCAAACCAGTTCAATCCAGTTCTTACAACTAGATTGTGTACACCACGTAATCGATTTACCTGTTGAGGTTAACCTTGATGATTGGATTTAATCGATGTACATGATTCTTTTGTGTTTTAATTAATTAAGAGATCATAATTAATGATCAGACTTGTGAGGGACAAGCAGACATTTGTTAAATAACTCTATTACTCCAGCCTTTGGTCATAAATAATTTGCGTATTTTAAACGTGTTGCAGTTACTTCCCCTGATTTAGCTTATTACAAATAAGTGCTCCTAAAATATTATCTATCATTGAAAATAGAAATAAAGTACAAATTGAATGCAAAATTATATAAGAATGTTACCTTAAGGATAAAAACTTTCTTTGAACATACCAACAAAAATATATTGCAAATTATTTTTGATAATCATACTTTCATTAATGCACAGACATATTATAATGAATAAGTAGTATTTTCCATATTGTAACTGATTTGAGTTAAAGTAGTCCCAGTCTTTAGACATCAATTGGAACTCAGCTAAATATGATACATGGGTGTACAGATAGATGATATAAATTACTCTTCATGTCAGTCTACCAAGTAACACAATAATGATTATAATAATAATTGTATTGTTGTTTAAAAGAATCATGTCTAAAGCTATGAAAAATAGTTTTCAATTTACTAAAGGTTCTGCATTAAAATTTAATCTTGTTTAAACTTAATTGTTATGGTGTAATCAAACAAAAATGGGGAATGTGTAGTGTAACTACAAGTATCAGGACAAATTGGCTTGATCAAAATATAAAAAGTGACTTGAGTTTAAAGACTAATAGTGCTTTCTTTTATTTATTCTTAAAAGAAATTAAAGTATACAAACTGTTTATTGATTTACTTCTTTTTTTACCAGTAATTTTATGACCCAAAGTCTACATAACACAGTAAACAAAACAAAACAAAGACAAAAAGGTAATGACACAAAAACTAACAAGAAAAAAAACAAAACGATGCAACGCGACACGACATATTGTACAAATCATTTTGACACGCGTTACCCTGGTGCTATCCAAAAATCCTGGGGAGAACACTGCTTTAAACAAACCTAAACACAAACATTAACTTGTAAACTATGTAAAAGTTTCAAAGTCAATGAACCATGATCAGGGGTGGGGCTATATAATCTCCATGGAAACGATACTTGCAAATGCCAATAAATTTGCATACCAAATATCATTGACTTAACATTAGCAGTTCATCTTAAACTGATCTAATCACAAATGAATACATATAAACTATGCAAAAGTTTCAAAGTAAATAGACCATGACTGAGGGGGCGGGGCCAAATATTCTCCATGGAAATGAGATGTGCTAATGCTTATACAACTGAACACCAATTAACATTGACCTACCACTAATGATTCCCCTTGAACTGACCTAATCACAAACTAATACATGTTAACTTAGCAAAATTTTCAAAGTCTATAGACCATGACTAAGGGGGCGGAGCCAAATAATCTCCATGGAAATGATATATGCCATTGCTTATACAACTGCATACCAAATATCATTGAGCTACCACTAGTGGTTCCCCATAAATTGACCTAATCACAAACTAATACATGTAAACTATGAAAAGTTTCAAAGTCAATAGACCTTGACTGAGGGGGCGGGGCCAAATAATCTCCATGGTAATGAGATGTGCCAATGCTAATACAACTGCATACCAAATATCATTGACCTACCACTAGTGGTTCACCATGAACTAGACCTAATCACAAACTAATACATTGTTGATGCCGCCGTCGCCAACGTTGCTGATGCCGGAAACAGCATACCTATGTCTCGCTTTTTGACTCTGTCAAGGCGAGACAAAAACTAGTAAATGAGCATCTAGTTACTACTGTAAATTTAGAAATTATTGCATGCATTTATTATTGCAATTTTTGAAGAATGGACTAAAATGTGAGATTAATAATTGTGATTTTAAGGAATAATTTCTGAATTAACAGTAACAAGATATTTCCTTTCTCACCTTTTGCCAGTTATTATGTCTTGTGTCCAGTATCAGCAGGTGCGGCACATGTTTCCTTAGTATTGATAAATCTTCTCTTGTATTGCACAGTTTATTCCAACTTAAATCTAAAAACTTCATCTTGTGGACATTCTGTAATGGAAGGATTATCACCTTTAGCAATAAAGCAACAAAATATTTACATCATACAACAACTCTCAGTGTCAATCAATGGTCTGGAAATGGTCATATTTGGTTAACATGACCTAAATTAAAACCTGTTTGACTGAAATGGCAAATTGGGATTTAGGTCAGAAATTTTTCTTACAGAAATAATTTCAATCGTTTCATTGAGATCAGGGTTTTTTAATCACCATTTTGCACTAATTTTTGTACAGCAATGCTTTTCTGGTAATAAAACTGACCCCCAGATATAGCATTGGGTTTTAATTTATAAGTAGTTCTAAAAGTAGACACAATCATGAAATTGTTTATGTACAAATAAAAAGAAAGATATCTTTGATACATACCTTCAGACCATCCAATGTACATATTTTATTGAAACTAACATCTAAATATTCAATACACTGAAAAGATAAGATGACAATGTATTAGTGTATAAAATTACACAACACTTAAATATATAATAACATCTTATTTCATAAAGTCAATGTTTGTTGAATAAAATTTCCACCTGGCTATGCATTATTTTTTTTTTCCAAACAGTCCTTTAGTTCTTCATATCTAAAAACAAAACAACTTAATCTCAAATACACTCCTAGTAAATTATTTACATTTTACTAAATATTACTTTTAATTTCTGATATATCTTTCATACAGTGAATGTTCTTTTCTTCAATTACATTTTATAAGAAATTCCATAGATTTTTTTCCTGCCAATATTCAAATTTCTCAAATGATTTCAAAAGAAATAAGCTACCTCTTTTTCTATAATTGTGATATATTGTACCTATTGAAAAAAAATTCGTAAGGGTTCCGCGGAACCCAGTGTCTCGCCTACTTTTGCTGTTAATCGCAGGCTCAACAAAAATGAGGAAAAAAATAAATAAAAATATTCCTCTCTATACTATCTTTTGATTGTTAGTAGCTTCTGTCCAAGTTTGGTAAAAATCCAGGATAGTTTATAAATCTAATAAATGTTTTAAAAACTTAAACTGCAGACTGTATGTAATGTTAACTGGAAGAAAAACAAAGTCCATTTATAAGTAAAATACGGAAAAAATCAAACAAAATTTTAACAAAATTTCCTTCTAGATACTAGCTTTTAATCATAAACAAGCTTCTGTCCAAGTTTGGTACAAATCCAGGATAGTTTAAGAAAGTTGTTAAAATTTTAATAAAATGCTTCGCTGGGCGCAGCTTGATACGACCGCAGAGGTCGAACCCTGAACAGTTGGGGCAAGTATGGACACAACATTCAAGCTTGATACAGCTCTGAATTTGGATTGTGATTAAATATTTGACACAGCATAGGTTTCTGACACAGAAAGAATGTGGTCTAAGAACTTCAATTTTTTTAATTTACCTATTATGGTCCAATGTCCAAAATCAAAATACATGGTTAGATTCAGCATATCAAAGAACCCCATATATTCAATTTTTGTTGAAATCAAACAAAGTTTAATTTTGGACCCCAACTTGGACAAACTTGAAAACTGGTCCCATAATCAAAAATCTAAACACATGTTTAGATTCAGCATATCAAAGTACTTGAAGAATTCAATTTTTGTTAAAATCAAACTAAGTTTAATTTTGGACCCTTTGGACCTTAATGTAGACAAATTTAAAAAACGGGTACCTAAATTAAAAATCTAAAAACACAGTTAGATTTGGCAAATCAAAGAACCCCAATAATTCAATTTTTGATGAAATCAAACAAAGTTTAATTTTGGACCCTTTTGACCTCAATATGAACCAATTTGATAGCGGGCCCACAAATAAAAAATCTAAATACATGGTAAGATTCAGCATATCAAAGAACCCCATATATTCAATTTTTGTTGAAATCAAACAAAGTTTAATTTTGGACCCCAATTTGGACCAACTTGAAAACTGGGCCAAAAATCTAAAATCTAAATACATGTTTAGATTCAGCATATCAAAGAACCCCATATATTCAATTTTTGTTGAAATCAAACAAAGTTTAATTTTGGACCCCAACTTGGACCAACTTGAAAACTGGGCCCATAATCAAAAATCTAAACACATGTTTAGATTCAGCATATCAAAGAACCCTAAGAATTCAATTTTTGTTAAAATCAAACTAAGTTTAATTTTGGACCCTTTGGACCTTAATGTAGACAAATTTAAAAAACGGGACCCAAAATTAAAAATCTAAATACACGGTTAGATTCGGCATATCAAAGAACCCCAATAATTTAATTTTTGATGAAATCAAACAAAGTTTAATTTTGGACCCTTTGGACCTCAATGTGGACCAATTTAAAAACGGGGCCCAAAATCCAAAAACTTAATACACGGTTAGATTCAGCATATTAAAGAACCCCAAGAATTCAAGAATAAAACCCCATTGAAATTGATCAAGAAATAAGCAATTTATACGAAGTATCTTCTTTTGCACAATACTGTGCAATTGAATATTTCTTGCTATTGCGCAATACTGTACAATTGACAATTTCTTGCTATTGCGCAATATTGTGCTATTGGATATTTCTTGCTATTGCGCAATACTGTTAAATTGAAGATTTCTTGCTATTGCGCAATACTGTGCAATTGAAGATTTCTTGCTATTGTGCAATACTGTGCAATTGAAAATTTCTTGCTATTGCACAATACTTATTATATAATAATTTACACATCCTGTTTGGTGTGTATCTCCTACCATATCATTATCATTTGCTTTTAAATATAAATCAGAAATAACCAACTTAAAATGGAAAATTTTAAAAGAAAAAAAAAAGGAAAAAAAGAAAAAAAAAAAAAAAAAAAATCCCCCCCCCCCCCAATTTTTTGAACCCCCTTATGATTCATCACCCCCAAACTCAATCCCAGCCTTCCCTTTGTGGTATGGTACCTTGCAGTACAATTTCAGAGAGATCCATACACTTGAACACAAGTTATTGTCTGGAAACTAGAAAAATGCTTATTTTTGGCCCCTTTTTGGCCCCCAATTCCTAAAATTTTGAGGCAATTACCCCCAAACTCAATTCCAGCTTTCCCTTTGTGATATGGAACCTTGTAGTACAATTTCAGAAATATCCAAACACTTACACACAAGTTATTGTCATGAAACTAGAAAAATGCTTGTTTTTTGCCCCTTTTTTGGCCCCTAATTCCTAAAATTTTGAGGCAATTACCCCCAAAATCAATTACAGCCTTCCCTTTGTGATATGGAACCTTGTGGTACAATGTCAGAGAGATCCATACACTTACACACAAGTTATTGTCTGAAAGTTACAAAAATGCTTATTTTTGGCCCCTTTTTGGCCCCTAATTCCTTAACTGTTGGTACCATAACCCCCAAAATCAATCCCAACCTTCCTTTTGTGGTATTGAACCTTATGGTGAAATTTCATGGAGATCCATTCACTTAAACTAAAGTTAGAGTGCGAAAACCAATGTGTCTTCGGACGACGCCGGACGACGACGACGACGACGACGACGACGACGACAACGACGACGACGACGACGACGCCAACGTCATACCAATATACGACCAAAAAATTTTTAATTTTTGCGGTCGTATAAAAACTTTAACCACTGAGTGAATGTAATGTTAACTGGCAGAAAAACTAAGTCCATTTATAAGTAAAATACGGAAAAAATGGATTTTTTTTTTTACAAAATTTACTTCTGGATACTATCTTATGATCATAAACAAGCTTCTTTCCATGTTTGGTAGAAATCCAGGATAGTTTAAGAAAGTTATTAAAATTTCAAAAACTTCAACCACAGAGTGAATGTAATGTTTCTTGGCAGAAAAACTAAGTCCATTTATAAGTAAAATACGGAAAAAATGGATTTTTTTTTTACAAAATTTACTTCTGGATACTATCTTATGATCATAAACAAGCTTTTTTCCAAGTTTGGTAGAAATCCAGGATAGTTTAAGAAAGTTATTAAAATTTCAAAAACTTTAACCACAGAGTGAATGTAATGTTTCTTGGCAGAAAAACTAAGTCCATTTATAAGTAAAATACGGAAAAAATGGAATTTTTTTTTACAAAATTTACTTTTGAATATTATCTTATGATCATAAACAAGCTTCTGTCAAAGTTTGGTAGAAATCCAGGATAGTTTAAGAAAGTTATTAAAATTTCAAAAACTTTAACCACAGAGTGAATATTTGTGGACGCCGCCGCCGCCGACGCCGACGGAATGTAGGATCGCTATGTCTCGCTTTTTCGACAAAAGTCGAAGGCTCGACAAAAATGTAATTCGTGAAAATATTGCTATTTTGAGTTACAGCAGTGAACGTCCTAAAACTATTGACACCTTTATGTGGTTCCCCAGTTGAAACTTTTTGCCTCACAAAAAACTGTTTCAAACTTCATCAAATTTGTATCCAATAAAAAGTATATATTTAAGAATATCTGAATTGAACTTCCTCGATGAAAGAATTTTCTTTTGCCATGCACTATCATTTCAAATGTGAAGAATTTTTTTTATTGCTGTCTTCATTTTTCAAAGTTTTTATTTTATATAAGTTAAAGTAATCTTACTGTTAACATTTTATTGAAATATCCTATGCGAACTAAATATATAAAAAAAACGTCCATTGAGTAAAGGGTTAATTGGCAAGACAAGATGTGTCTGGTTTAAATTATTCATCTGAAATTCCACAAAATAATCATCAAAATTCATGACTCATCAACTTAAGATGGTACCAAACACCTTGACTAAAAATAATTTGGCTTGTTTAATTTTCATAAAATTTTGACAAAATATTGACTTTGACCCTTTGACAAAAATATTAAAATTTCAAAAAACTTGAACCACACTTTATTGGAAAAATTTCATTGGATATATAGCAGTTTGACAAACACTAATTTTGATCATCGAGAAGCTTAATATTTCCTTAACACTAGAATGTGCTTAAAACGTTCAGCTGATTTTTACAGAGTTATCTCCCTGTAGTGTTATGTACCACCTTAAATAAATTGCTGTTTGCTAGTCAGTTTACATTATGGTATATTTAAATAATAAACAATTTGCATGGAGATAGTTTGTACCATATTAGACAACTCATCCAGTTTGGTTAACTCGTTACCACTGACCACCAGACGCTTCAGGTTATGTAGACTATGTATTGGTTTTAACTTTGACAATGCGTTTCCATGGAGATTTAATGATGTGATACTGGACATACTATCTACATTGGCAAGTTTCAAGACTAGTTCTTCTGTCAAGGCTATCAACCTATAATGTAAAGAAAGTCTAACATCAAACAACACTTATAATTTTTTTTTTCATTTATTACAATGTATTTTGATTTGCAAACATCAATCTTAGTTTGATAGCTCCAAATTAAGTTTACTTTGACTTAAAAGAACATGAATCTTGTCTCCATTCTAATGAATCAAAAAAGTTTATAAATACTGGTAAAATTATGAGAGACTCTTGCAAAATACTGTGATCACATAAATAATGAAATTGTTGACCTGAAAATGGCATGTTGCTCAATCAGAACTGACATTATGAAAATTTGACACTAAATTAAAAAACGATCTATCTTGTAACCTTCAGTTTAAAAAAAACAGTACATTTGTCTTTGTTATTTTATTCAATATTTTTTCATTTTACTATTTATCTTTTTTTTTTAATTTGGATTCACTTGGTTCATTAACTGTTAAAACATATCCGCTATATGGTAACATGTAGTAGATTAAATCCATGTCATCGGGTCACTAGTAGATAGTTGTCTCATTGACAATCATACCACGTCTCCTTATTTTAATATTGCACTAGATATGTTTAAATTCTTGAAACAGTAAAAAGTTGTGTTAAAATTATCTTCTAAATACTGGACTTATAGACTATTTTCATACTACCAACTTTCAACTTCCAAGTTTATAATTTTTTGACAGGTTACCAACTCTGGTAGGACATCCTGGTACTCAGCCAATTAAGAGCAAACAAAAGAAGTTAGTTCAAACATATAATCTGTGCAATTCTGGGGGAAAGTTTACTGTTTTCCAAAGAATTTGTGATGTACATGTATAGAAAACATAAAACAGTTAATTTTCCCCCAAAATTGTACTGATTGAAAGCTAAATTTTACTTCTTTATGTTGCTCTGACTTGACCGAGTACCAGGATGTCCTACCACAGAGTAGGTAACCTGTTGAAAAAATTAAAACTCCGGAGTCAAAAGTCGGTAATAGGAAAAAAGTCTACTACACAGGATTGAGTTAACAATAATATATCAATATTTTTTTTTACATAACTGACATCAAATTATGAATATAGAAAGTGTTTAAATAAGACACATTAAATAGCATCACTTCATTTTGACTTGATGAGAATACCTTGGTCTAGGTTTACATTGAGGTTCCATGTTTATGACATCATCATCAGCTGACTTGTCATCCTCTGAATGAGGTACTGCTGGTAACCGACATTCTCGATTGTCCAATAACATATCATTGAAGTAATTAAAAGGCGACTTGGATCTAAACTGTAACAAAACAGAAACAAACATAAGGTGGATAACATTAATGTTCTAATAAGAAGTCCTGTTGTGGTATGTTCCTTGTCAAATAAGTCACAAACAGAAACAATAACAGAACATACAATCATCCAAATACATTTTGTGCACAAAAACATCACGAATATGTTAAATAATGTCATTTGATAAAACATGAATATCTGGTGATTTTTCCCAAAATAATCAAATTGATTGGTCCTTGGTCCCTTTGCTGTTACCCAAAATAATGTTGATTTTCATCTCGTGCAAAAGTGATTAAAGCCCTAAAAATCCTAGCTTAAACCCTGAATCAATGATATGCTGTGGTTTACTGCAAATGTTATCATAGGTAGGCTATGGCACTGTGTTCCACTTTGGGTACAATTTATACAAGATATGACCTACACATGGTAAAATCTCCAATAAATCACTAGAATCAGATAGAGCCTAGAAGCCACTTATAATAGTAACTATTAGCATTAATTTAATGATCTTGTTTCTTTCACATAATGAAACATTAAAAAATTGTTTATTTAATTGACTATAACGATTTTGAAGAAATATCATAAAATTAGCAATTCCAAGGGGCCTTTCTTTATAAAATACAAAAGAACAAATAATGCCTTATGTACCAGCTGTATTTTATTTTTCTGTGAAATATTTTCATATAATGTTTAAGTTGGTAACCAATAAAAGATTGAAAAGAGAGTTCACATCAAGGTTAACAAAACGTCCAAAAGATTTTCTCTTACCTTTGTGACGTATTCAAACTCTACTACATATTCTGGCAGTACAAGTCTGTTGTCAAATAAATACCACTCACATTGTCTGGCACTACATTCACATAGAGTATCACCTTCTGAAATAGGATAAATATATATATGTTACTCCTGTCTATTAACTGTCAATCATCAAAATAGGCAGTTCACTGGTCACATCAACAGTGACAAATCCTCAAACTACTTCTGAAAATGAAAGTTTGCTTACTTTTCAAAAGTAAGACATTTGTTTACCTTTTTTACAATCTGTGTATCAACACTTCTGAAAAAATGTTATACCCATAACTGCTGTAATCAGACAAACTATTTTTAGATAATGGTTGACCTTGTAGACGGTAGAAATATTTAGTTACCGAAGAGCATGGCATACTCTCAGCACTTTTGCAAGGCTGACATAAAGAAGCATTAACTTTTCCAAATCTTTTTTAATTCTATATGAAATTAAATATGTATGAGCCAAGAATGAAGTGAATCACTTGCCATCTCTAAATAATATAAGCAGAAATGACTTAGTCCATGTTTTGGTATGGGAAACCTCAAAAATCATTCAGATGAAAAATTTAAATAACAGATGCAAATGTTCATGTCTTTTAGGAAAATCTGTGAAATTTTTGTTTGATTCTGTCCAGCCTTTTTCAGGGAGTTGGAGATAAACATAAAACGCGACACTGATCATGACTAAAGAAGTTATTCCTAAGTGTCGCTAACGACAGCTAGATGCTGTCAGGCAACATGATAAAACTCACCATTAGAAATACACATCTTCCTTGGTTTGAACACAGCATCTATTTTTGGATATGAACTTTTGCTTATTCTGAAAAAGAATTATAGATTTTGTGAATATCAGTTTATTTATTGTTTGTCATATAAAACAGTATTTCCATTTTCGTAAATAAAATCAACGAGTAAAGAATGTTTGACACAGTCTTAAACATGACTGTAGTCTGAGCTATATAAAGCTTTTTCTAATACCAAAATGCAATAAATCTACAGATCAAATATTTGCTAGTACAGGCATTTTATTATCTAAGACTTTAATGCTGAAATTTTTTGTATTTTCTCTGGTCAATGTAAGAGTAAAGCATTTCAAGGATTTGTTATTATTATCTGCAAGTTTATCTAACAAACTTAAATCTTTGCAAAGAATTCCAGAGTAAATATGTTCATTTTTTGTGTGTGAAACTACAGCAAACTTAAAGTTCAGATTATGTGTATGGTAGTAAAATTTTGATCAATTAAAAAAATATCTAAAAGTATGTAGAGTGATGTAAGAAAATTAAAACAGTATTCAGTTCCATAAATTTTCCCCCATTTTTTTTACCTTAGAGGTTTTAAAGTTCACTTACTGTCTATCATCTAAAGCTTTAACACTTTTACCAAGATAAACTTTAGAAATAACCAACTGACCTGAAAACATTTAAAGAAATAATTATATAATTTTCTGTCCATCTATATTTTTATTGTTTTTAGTAGATTTTTTTCGTGTCATATTCTGGGGTTTACTTTATGCTGCAATTATCAAGAAAATGAACAGAGTTTAGATAAAATAAATGATAATTGTCCCTGAAAAATTTATGATTAAATCAAACGTGTAAATAAAAAAAAATTATTACATGTACCAAATATACAGCACATTTCATTTCACCACAATTTCAGCAAATGGTTTATGATAGCCAACTTATCTCATTTTACATTCTATAGGACTTTTCAGAAACTTACTTCCAAAAGCCTGAATATGAATTAAAATAACCTACATCCCGAAAAGGGAGATGACCAACTTCAAATTATAATTTTAGAGTAAAATTTATGATTCTGGAAATGAGGCTATAAAGATTTAAATAGATATTCAGTTAAAGAGCTTAAAATATTGGACACTGAATAAGATTACGATTCTTGAGTATTTACTTACCATATCTAAATGGACACGAGTCACTATATTCGGAATTCTTGCCATTCTTGGTTAAATGTTCTATCCTATGTCTATCTGCTAAACTCAAACTATTACTAAGAGAAACAGCACCATCTCTTCCCAAATCCTGAAAAAAACCAGTGACACAAAAATAGCAACAAAAAACTTATGACCTAAAACTCGTCTAATTCAAATATTTTCTGTTTTGGCCTTATTTCATTGCAGTATTAATATAAATTAAGAAAGTTTTGATGTTTTTATTATTGCACCACCCTGTGTCCATGTTAGTGAACTGTGAAATGGGCGTCAACATTGTAATTTGTCATGTAATTTTTTAAATTTCACCTCAACATCAACTTGAGACTAAATTTCAAGTTGATGGGACAAAAAACTTCATGATAAACTACCTTAAATAAAATCTTTGGCTTGAGATACATACATATTTCCCACTATCACATTTGTTAAATGAACTGTGTAATAGGGGTTGAAACAGCAATTTGGCATATAATTTGGCATCATCATAAACATGTTTTTTAAAGCATAAGTTGATGTGACCATACCTTAACCAAAAACTTAAACCTGATGTAGAACTAACTAACTGACAGACAGACCATACAACATAATGCCCTTATACTATTGTAGACAGGGCATGATTGAAAATAAGCATGAAAAGTATAAATCAGTCAAGAATCACAGAAATTCAACTTACACTATATGTTTGAGCCTCTAGGAAACCTTCCTCTAACAAATGTCCTGGTTCATTAGCACCATTAGATAACTGTGGGTCCTGCATCCAAAACAAATATTCTAACAACTTTCTGTAGCCTGTATTCCTGAAAATATAGTGTATAAGTATGGTGAGTATTTCTTAAATAATAGTTGGATTTCAAAATGGTTATTAATTATTTTCATTGTTTAAGAGAGTACTGTCAAACCTGTATATAAAGGTCAAACTCAGGACCAGAGAAAACTGACCTCATTAGTGAGGTGACCTTTGAATAGAGGTTCAAAATGTAGGTATTACTACAACATGACAGAAAGAAGGTATGAAGTGAAAAGACAGGCTTTTGCTTAATAGAGGTGACCTTTATAGCAGGTTTGACTTTCTATACTATGTTTTAATTTTCTGTATCCAATATTGCTAAAGAAAACAAGCATTCTGTGAGTATTGCATGGCAATACATAGTCCCCTACCAGGTAAAAAATCAATGTATTGGAACAAAATTCTAACTTGATCTATAACTTGTCATGGTGTAAACTATATAACAAATATCAAGTCAATATCTTCAAGCATGACGAAAAAAGTGTTGAAAACTGATTATTTAAGTGAATTCTCTAAGTCCAAGGACCATAACTCTGCACAAAATCATCAGACCGGAACAAAATTCTATCTTGATCTGTAACTTGTCATTATAAAACTATATACCAATTATCAAATCAATATCTTCAAGCATGACGAAAAAAACTGCAGAAAACTGATTATTTTTAAGTCCAAGGCAAGGCTTCCAAAACGGTCATATATTCCGGACATTTGTATAATGTCCGGTAAAAGTCCGGCTTGGCAAAGCACGAAACGGTCATCTACATTTTACATTTCAAGGCTTTCTTAAGAGACGGTCATTTTAACATAATTCGCGATCTTTTTGACCCAAACTTTTGCCTTTAACAGCCACACATTTCCGGTCATAAAAGTGACATGATCATTAAGTACTATCAAAACAACCCCTACTTTAATACCTTCTCATTTTAATCAAGGCTAATTAGTTGTCGAACAGCTGATATTTACCTGTTCAGGTTACAGGTAAACTATTTTGAACCGGACATTGATGGGTCTATTCAAAGTTATTTTCTTACATTTCACCGGTTTGCATCTAATTACTTTAGTCAAAAAGATTTAAATTATCAGAAATACAATTACAAATAAAATTTGATGAAAAAATTAAAGAGGTGAAAATAAAAAATCGTCATAACCACGTTGTTTGAACCAGAGACATGTCTCTGTTTGAACTAGTACATGTGTGCGCATGTGCATGTGCGCAGGTGTGAAAATTAATTATGCATCCTAATTTCTTCAAAAAATGCTTAAATTGTCATTGATACCTTTATCTCACGTTTATTTCGAACATTTTCTTGAAGAAATAACGTAGAATGAGCTACTTACACTCATTCATGCTTTGCAAACGTACACGGAATTTACGTATCCGTCTCTGGTCCATGTTTTACCATTGTCAAGATAACATCCGGTTTCAGATTAAAAACGAAAGTAAAGTTTTTGACAACATTATTTTGCACAAATAAAGAGTCTAAGGCAGACATAAGTACGCTGATGTTATACACTTCGGATGATGCACTGCCAATTTAACAGTTTACGACAGAACTTCGAATTTGAACCAAAGAAAGTTTAATATCGTTTTTTTTAAATATCAAACATTGGGATGGCCAACTCGGCAACTGATTACCATAATTGCCTTTTAGTCTTAAGGGATTAAAATCGGGATAATATATAAAATGTCCGGCTGGCTAAAAATAATTTTGGAAGCCCTGGTCCAAGGACCATAACTCTGCACAAAATCATCAGACCGGAACAAAATTCGAACTTGAACTGTAACTTGTCATGATTAAAACTATATAGCAATTATCAAATCAATATCTTAAAGCATGAAGAAAAAAAGTGTGGAAAACTGATTTGCCGCACTGATGGACAGACAGAGAGACAGACAGACAGACTGACAGACAGACGGAGTGCAAACCTAAAGTCCCCTTTGACTTCGTCGGTAGAAGACTAAAAACATCCAATGGCAATTATTTCATGTACATTCAGGACTAAAAAGTATTAACTATTAACAAGAAATGCACTAGGTGCAAGGTGGAACAACAGAGATGTAGGGCTGGAAATTTGAACTGCTACTGGAAAATATTTGTAATAATCCTGTCAGTAACATTTAACATATACGCACCTGTTACATGGATAGTATTCTCCATCAGGATCATCCACTATGGAAGACAAGATATCGTCAAACCGTGTCCGTAACATCCTGTTATGTATACGTATAATTCTGTGGATTTTGATTCCTGATACATTGTGATCCTTATAATCACTAGCACAAAATCTTGATAGCACCAAATCATGACATGAAGAAAACCTGGTAAGAGACAATATACTCATCAGTTACAGATAAATTTCAGCTGGAAAAAAATTGACATTTAACAATAAAGAGCTGCGCCATGAGCGCATGATACGCCTGTCGCTTTTTCAAAGAATAAAGTTCCATAACTCCTCAATGTCATATCAGAAATTTATATAAAACTAAAGGGAGGTTATTTTAATAGATATTAAACAATCACCAAAGTTTCATGAAAAATGTTCAAAGCAATTTTGAGTTATTGTCCAAAAACTGGAAAATCCCTCCTTTTTTTATGAAAAAAATCCCATATCTCGGAAACATAAAATCTAAAATATTAACTACCAGTAATGAGATATACATTTACACAATACGTTAATAATGTAAAATTAATAAACTAATAAACTTTTTATTGTAACAGATTCAATATTACTCTAAATCAATTTTCATGAATAAGGGAAAATCTGAAATAATTCGGTAGAATTTCATGAAAACAAAATCCAACTTAGGTTGACTGCAGTATAAGTACTGGTAGATGATACAGCAATAAAATTGAGAAAACATCATTGAGAAAGGTATGTTTCGATGAACCTTAAAATATGGTTTCTATGAAATTATCAAGAATTTATTACATAAAACATATACTATGAAAGTACTTAATTCTTGGGTATCAATTTTCGTGGTTTAAGCAAAATTTTCATGTTCATAGGTTCTTAAATTTGTGGATTTTTAGTTTTCCGAAGAAGAGGAAAAAATGAGTGATGAATTTGAAGCCATCAGAAAAGAAGATTCTTGAAAATAATCATATGTTTTTTTTTATAATGATTTGTGGAAAATTGCAAAATAATGTGTTCAATTTCACTTATTATTTTTTGAACGACAATTATAAGGAGATCAAATGAACACTTCATCATATCATATCATCACCGGAAGTCTGACTTTCATTGATCAAAATTAATTTTTCATGAGAAATAAAAGGTTAAAAGTCGTTTTTTAAGTCGTATATATAGTTCATAGTGAATTTGCTGATATTCGATGTATTCTCTAGATTAAATGCCTGTATCCATGTAGTCAAACCTACATTGGGATATTTCCATGTATTGATTTAGACAACAGCTGTTATATTTCGTTGAACACTTAAATTCGTGGATAAAGCCATCCAAAAAAACCATGAAAAAATGGTACCCCACGAATAAAAGTACTTTCACAGTACCTCAATTCCCTTCAAGAAATTAAACAAAAATTAAAGCAGGCCAAATAAAGCAAACAGGTTGTTGTAATTCTCATTTCTCTCTTACCAGATATCTGTAGGTGAACCCTCTTCAAAGCGGACATTTCCTCCAGATTCTAGTTCTATTAACATTCTATTAACAATAACATCAGCACTTTTCTTTATTCTTGCAGCAGCCTCATTGTAAAAACACTCAATTCTGTAATTATGAATTTAAAAAAATTATCAAAAGACTTACAAAACACTTTTAATCAAATTATACTGTTATTACTAAATTGATGAATATAAACTAAATTGATGAATATAATAAAAAAATTATGCTGTATCATAAAGTTTTTAACAATAACAAAATATTATAAACATGATAACTTTTTTGGTTTCCTTTCTGGCTTTACTGTTGTTATTTCACTCTTTCATATTTAAGTTATTTGGAAAGCCAAAGGTGTCATATTTCAACTTTGCAATTCTTTAATTGTATGTATTTTACTGTAATTCTTCATTTGTAACAGTGAATCTAGACAATTGAATGTCTGAGAATTGCATCTCAAACTCTGCAAATATGTAATTCTAAATTCTAATTTAGATTTTCCATACTTGCTACATGGTATATTTGTGATATGTCCTTTTGCAATTTGTCAATTGACATCATGCATTTATGAATTTCAAAGGTTTATTCTTCAGTATTTTAAAATACTCACTCATGGCACTTTCTTTCCCAATTTCTAATTCTTTCTTTTAGACATGTATGTTTAGCTACAAAACTGCCTGTTTCCTCTAATTTCTGTGCTTTGGCCTACAAGTACAATATCCGACATCAATCGTCCTTAGTACACAAAGTTCAAACTGATAAGATATTTATTGAATTACTAGCATATTCATATTTATGCAGTAGAAGAAATCTAAGTGATTCTTATACAAAATACCAACATCAACAAAGTCATTTATGAAACTATGTGACACATAAATATAATGAATCATGGATTTCAATGAAACAGTTTATGTAAAAACTGATGAAATTCAAAATAAAAATTCAAAATATTTTTGCATTCTTGGTATTAAAGAGTAAACTGTTCATAATTGAAAATTTCATTAATTATATCAATAAACTATAACTGGTATTGAGAATTTAACTGAAAGTAAAGTCCTGCAAATTAAATAAATAAGTTATTGTTTACTATTAAGAAAATAAACAAAATGCATTTAATCTATTTCTCCGACCGAACACTAATATTCAGATTGTTACAAGAACTTTTGGAACAGTGTCTATATGACAAGGGTGTCAACCACTTCACAGAACATATATAGGCCTTAAAAATAATATTCAACTAATTAAAAGATGCAAATTGTTGAGATATTTTATATTATCATTATTAAAAAGAAACTCAAATTGATCAATTTTGGAGTTTATGTCCAACTGTCTCAAATTTTGTTAAAACTATGTCATAATGTTAAAAAATAAACTGCAAGTTTAGTATCATTTATGTACCACAATGGAGAATACACGTGATTGGTTTACTGAATAAAAGTTCAATAAAATGTGACAAACAGATAATAATGACCAATTTGATGCTGAAATAATTTTGTTGAATTGGAAAGTCATAAAGAAATGTCATTGATAACTACTTCTAAGTAAATAGTTGACCTATACACATAACTTAACCAAGACACTGTACCATGAAATTTAGGTCACAGTGACCCAGCCATTACTGAAGTGCTTTTCTTTAACAGGTACCATGATATGTCACCAAACATTTCATATGCCTGAGCCACATTTTGGTGACCACAAAAACTAAAAGCTATTGAAATGAAAAAGAGACTGTTCAAACTGATTTCAATCTTAACAGCAAACAATTTTCGCATGGCTCCTGCAACAATCTAAACATCGTTGATTTGTTTCAACAATATATAGGCAAGGTATGTCTGTCTCCTTTAAAATACAGCTGTCAGGGAAAAAAGTGCTGCTGTATGTGACTTTGGATTTTCAAATTGTGATGTGTGTAGTTATCGCTTTACTTACATGTCAAACTTACAAACAGTTAATCATGCTATGTAAAATGAATTATCTGGTTCTTAGACAAATTCTTTTTTTTGTGCAACAGGATGTGAAATACAAAATGGAAATCTCTTTCTCACATTAAAGAAGCCATTTAGCCCTTTATTTGATAATAATTTTAAGATTTAGTTCTTTTTTTTCTGTGAAATAAGCATTTTGGTCAAGTGTTGTAACTGAGTATAACTTATGTGAAAACAGCAAGTAAAACATATTGCAAACATTAAAGTAACCTAAAATATTTCAGACACAGTTAGCATTAAATAGCTCACAGGTTTTAACAGTTTGTTATTGATATAACAAGTACAGATAAAAAGAAGAATTTGGGTTGACTCCAAGTTTTTATATATCTAGGGGGATATTCTAGCATGTGTTTTTCCCTTGTTTTTTTTCCATCATAAATTCATGATTGTGTTTGTTTACTTAAGTGTCTGAGAACCAGATAATTTATCTAACATGGACTTCTATTTATCAGATGACAGAAAAAAATCTGATATCACTTTTTAATATATATATAAAAATTTAAACTTACAAATAAGAGTCTACAAGTTATAAACTGCTACATTTATATAATTAACATAAAGCAGAAAATGAACTTTAAAAGTAAGAATATTAGAAGCTAAATATTAAAAAGTTAGATATGATGCCACTGTTAGGTAGGAAGAATTTTAATAATTTCTATTATATACACAGTTATCTTATAAAGTTAATTAAGACAGAGATATAATATGGACTGAAAGGGTGGTTATATTGGAGAGGGCAAAGGTTAATCTAAGTAACAGCTAGGTTAATCCACAAAGGTGAAGGTCACCTGTGTTGCAATATCCATTTTTTCAAGGTCAACAACCTCTTCAAAGTCAAGGTCAACATTTAAATCCCAAGTGTCTTCTAATTCTGTTTCAATCTACAAGTTCAAGTATAAATCTTAAAAAAATAATAATTTACTTTGTAAAATAGCTAGACCTCTGAGTTTAAATGTAAAAATGAAAGAATGAACAAAAACAAAAATTGTGAATAAAAACAAACATACAAATTTTGAATAAATTGCCTCCTTGCAGCAGTATACAGTCTATCATTTATTCAATGCATCTTTTGTTCATATCTCCTGCTTATACATAATCAATGAAGTTGCAATAGTCTATTTGCTAATTATCATTTCCTTTGCTAACTATTGACTGGTTTTAAACCAAACAAACTAGGTTGCTGCCCATGCAAAGCATGATCAGTTGAAAGTGATATATAAGAACAGAGTTCCAATGTCCCATGCCGTGCACATATTTGATCTGTCCAAGGGTAATTACTATTGTAATGTAAGTAAAATATTTGAAAATCTTACAGATCACACACATTATGCATAGATAAGTTTGCCCTATTGCTTGCTCTTAATTGGCAATGAAAAGTTATGTCCCTTTTATACAAAAGATCACTAATTGCAGGGTCAAATAAAGGAATTGGCAAATAGTCTATTGGCATTCATGACTACTCAGTGTGTATATTTAAATTAGATAATTTAATAGTACTGCAACTCATTTCACAAAAAATCTTTCGAGAAAAAATACTTGTGAAAAGAGCTCCAGGACCAGAACTGATGACAGACCTATACAATAACATAGGTGCATAAAGCCATAAAAATGTAAACCAAATTGTTTAAAAATCAAATATAAAAAATTGTCTTTGCATTAACATAACTTACTGTGAAAATCAGATTGTCCTCCAAAAAGAAAAGGAAACAGAAACAATATTAGAGCAAAATGCTAGTTAACCAAAAAGCTTTTTTAAACTAATAATAAACTTTCCTTATATTATTACAGAATATGAGAATGGTAAACACACCAAAAAAAGCACGAACAAAGGATGACTTTCAATTCAAATTAAGTTTTTCCTTGAGCCAAAATAGAGAAAAATTTGCCAAGACAATAGCAACACAGTATGTTTATTACATGACAGTAGACTGCCTGTACCAATAAAATGATTATTCTAATCAAACAATACTAACTTCTTTCAGCACATTATACAAGGATTTTATTCTTTCATATGGAAATTCTTCTAATTTGGTTTTATACACATCCATTTTTGACAGAATATCAGTCATATTTCTGTGAACGGTCTTCACACGCATGTGATAGTACATTCTTTTCTTCATCACTGTAGCCTACAAAATATATAACAACTGTGTTTTTACATCTTCACAAGGGACAGCAATCATTTACCCAAAACAGTGTATTTAATAGTTAGAAAATTTTTTGTTTGTTTACCAAAAAAAGACAGTTTTCAAATTCTATATTTTGCCTGCAGTTTAGTATAAGAGTTATAACTTTAACAATGAATAAGAAAGAAACCTTATGATTGTTGTTATAAGTGGATTAGAGTTGTTTTGTTACTATTGTGGATACATCATTATTCGTGGGATACCAATATTCATGGATTTAGTGGGCAGACGTACACCAATAATTTTAAAAAAATTCAAAAAACAAAGTACACATTTTCTAAAGGTTTGTATACAGACTTTGGTAAATCTACAAAATCAAATGTTTTCCTCAATCCAAAAAAACTGTAATCTATGAAAATAAATGATTCCACAGTATTGCTTTTTACATTCCACATCTAATGTTGGTTTGCTGTCATACTGATGTTTATCCAGTTTCTGTTTTCATTAACATGAATATAGATTAGTTACACAAACACATAACAATAGAGAATGTTTACACACTTAATTACTGTAGAAACATTAATTTTCGTGGGGTTAAAATTTCGTGGTTTTGTCTCTTTACAAGATTTCATGGGGATTTAATTTCGTGGTTTCCAGTAAATGGAAGTGATATTATATGTAAGTTAAATTTTCGTGGGGGTTTTAATTTCGTGGATATATTCTTTCCACGAAATAAACGAAATTAAATCCTCCACGAAAATTTCTGCTTTTACAGTACTCACCTCTGCCACATCAGTTACTGTTTTACTAACATCATATGTGTCTAGTTTAGTGAGGGTTGGTAAGTGAAACAGAACATGGGTAGAGTAATTACACAACAGACTGACTGGTGCTGGAGTGTACATTGGGTCCTTTAAACTAAGACTGTGTAAGGCTGGTAACCTCATTAACTGAGTCAATTCCTACAAAACATCAAAATATGACATGATTATTATCTTGTATAGAACACAATTTATCTAATTTAGTATGTATTTAAGGATGTACTTAGGTCAGGTTTAGGAATTTTTGCCAAAATTTAAGCAGATTCTAAATTTCTTTTCTTTCAATTTAAGACCCAAATGATACCAATGCAAATATAAGGTAAAAGTCTGAGTCAGCCTTTTCCCACCATATTTTAAAAATTAAATATCTTGAAGAGGAGCTCCATAACCTATCAATATTTTTATCTTATTTTGTTCCTTAACTAATGCTCTTCTGAATAAAAGTATCAATTTTAAATTCAAGATTTTTTTTTATTTCACCTAAATACATCCTTAAACTGGTTCTGATTAATTTCTGAACAGTTAGATAAATATAGATTCTACCACTGCATCAATATGATATTTCTCCACTAAAAACAGTTAAAATTTTCATTTCTAACATGCTTGGCATGCCAAGCTTTTCAAATATTAAAAATTTAACTGTCAATAGTGGAGAAATATCTTATTACAAGATCTTATGTGGTAGAATAGGTTTCTCTAATGATTTCTGGACAATATTTAGACAAATATAATAGTTCTTTTTCAATTATCTGCAAAAGGATGTGTTCTTTCTATGTGATGTCAACAAGCATGGATTATTTTATTCTCTGATATTAAAAGTGCCTTCTTTGGGTAATTAATATTTTCAAATGAAACAAACTTTATCTAATATCTAAATAGTTTAAATATCTAAAACTGATACAGCTTGGAAAAATCAAAAATTTAAAAGCAAACAGTGGGAATGGTGATAAATGAAATCAAATGATCTTCATACAATTTTGTGAGAATTGAGATGATATCATCTAATATCTATAATGTGATGCTGAGAAATAACCAAATATATCTTTACTGATCATCAATTATAAAATTGGAATCATCAAATCTGAAACTGAGGCTTACAAATATCAAAACACAGCAAATTTATCTCCCTTATAAAGCTATTAATACGTACCCTGAGTGAGGTAATATTATTTCCTGACAAATTCAAATCTTCCAGCCGTTTATTACTGTCTAACGTATGACCTAAAATGTCAAACAATCATATCTATTAACACTTAAATACTGGCATAAATATAACAATTCTTTTATGTACATAAATATATTATGTCATATCCCAGTCTATTAAAGGATAAATTTAGCATAAACATTATTTCATCTTTTGATACACTTTTAACAAGAGAAATTTGTAGCCATTTATTTCCTTTCTTGATTAAAAGGTTTTGTCTTGTGTTAACTGACCTATTCTTTTATTTCTTTATTCTTTGAATTGGTTTACTTTTTTAATAACTTTGTTCTTTGTTTTCTTTACATGAAATGATATAGTTCCCTTCTCAAAGATACAAATTCTTTACTTGTATAATTAATATAAGCTTATTGTATAATATATTTGCTGAAAATAAGACTTGTTCCGAGTAGAATTCCTTAAAAATGCTCCCAAGTACAATTTATCACAGTTAGAGCTGTTTTCCTAATGCTTGTAGTTTAAAAGTTTGGTTGGCTTGCTTGCTTTGTTTGTATAAATGTTTGCTCAAGCATTGTAATTAAGATTGACATCTGCAATCAATAGATCTAAATATATATATAGGCCGGGCTTTAGCTTGTATACATTATACTTAAATGTTATTGGATATTAAGTATAATGCAGAGTATAATGTATACAAGCTGAAGCCCTGCCTATCTAATGATTGCAGATGTCAATCTTAATAACAATGCTTGAGCAAACATTTATGCAAAGCAAGCAAGCCAACCAAACCTTTAAACTACAAGCATTAGGAAACTAGCTCTAAAAAAGGTCTAAATCAGTTAGAACTATTTTCAAATCTTCTTCCTTAGTATGAGAGAGGGATTTATTTCACATTATGTTGCACAAACAAGGATTTGTCTTTAAAGGTAGCATGAAAGGTATGGATAAAGCAGTGGTGCTTGATATGCCAGTGTTCCCGCCTTTTTTTTGGTTTATTTTCACCATCATTATTATGTGTCTTGCTTCATTTTATAATAATGTGATAAATCATGAAAATAACATCAAGAAATATGGTTAAAATATGGCCTCAAGTTTTATCTAGAAATATTGAAATTTGTTTTCAGCAGATGTGCTAACAGTCCACAAATGTTAAATTTGTTAAAATGCTTTATGTTGGCACTCATTTTACTTTGTACAAATGCCCTAAAAATCTTTATGATTGTGCTAAAGTGCCGTTTGGGTCAACTAGCACCCTTCTGCCCTGAGATTCAAGCTGGAACACTGGATGCTAATGTTATTTTTTTTTGCTTTTTTAGAAATTTCTTTTACCTATTCTAGTTATTTTGTTTTCTGCTAAATTCAACTGCTTCAGTTTGCTCAGCAAGGAAATATTCTGAAAAATAAATACATTTCATCAGTGAATTATTAAAATTACAATGCACACATCTGGAATTTTCTGCAAAAAAACCTGATATTTCAAAGTTTGTTAGTTAAAGACCTTGTTTTGCCTCGACTCAGACTAGTTTGAATTTGACAATCGGGAGTTTTTTATTCTATATTTGTTCAGATGTCATATCAGACATCCAGTTTTACCTCATCAATAATCTTACCTTTTTGAATTTCTACTCAAAAATCTTTTCATTACTATACTTTTTTTCAAATAGCTCTTGATTAAATCTGTACATTGTGAATCTGAAGTCACCAGTTGCAACATAATTGGTTAATATTTGAATGTTTTATAGTGTGATTTCTAACCAGAAAACTTCTGAAAACAACAAAATAGCCTAATTTTTCCATATATTTGTAATATAGTTTTTATTCAACATAAATGTAAGTAAGAATGGTAACCATAACTTGAATATATAATCATGTTGATAGACCAGTTTTGAGTTTTAATGAATGAGTAAGACAGGTTGATGCGAGGTCAGTTGGTGTAAATGACATCATTGAACAATTGCATGAAAATATGGATATTGTGTTATAAAAATTTGCTGTTACAAAATTTTGGAAATTATTTCAAATTAAGGAATATATCTTCCTCATCATGCTCATGCCAGGGTTTGATTCCTTGTCCAACTTTTGCTATAATTTTTGTCTTTTTTGGTTTATAAGCTCTTCATTTTTTTAATAAGTTTTTGATTTTAATATATTTTGTCCTCGAGCATCACTGAAGAGACATTTATTGTTGAAATGCGCATCTGGTGCAGAAAAATTGGTACTGTTAATGTTATGACTCTTACTTTGTGACCTATAAATATAAGTATTGTTACGTTGAAAATGCATAAAATTAAATGATGTCTATAAAAGCAGAAGTGTACTATAATATTACCTCAATATTAACAATAGAATTATCATTTAACCATAGGATCTCAAGCTCTCCCAAATGGTTCAAGTGTTCAATCATTTCAATTTTGTTTCCATATAAGTAGAGTTTCCTTAAATTTTTGTTTGCCTCCAAATTTTCTATTTTCTGAAATAAGAAAGAAACATTAAAGGAACAATTACAATATTGGTAATTAACCAGCATCTCATCCAAAAAGTCTGTACATTTCCTCGATTTAACATTACTAAACATATGGGACCGACATCATTTTCAGTTAGTATTGTATTAACTGTAACACACCCACGAAATTGCGGGCATTTAGAGCGTAGTTGAAAGTATGTAAACTGTTGTAATATGAATTTTTGTAAAAGATTTTATGACTGGAGAATTTCAGGAAAGGTATCAATTAAAAGTTTCTTAAACATGAACTGATGTCAATATAACATTTTGAATTTTTCACTAGTTCAAAATATTGGATGTAAATCTAAAGAATGTCAACTATTTGTAGTAACATGAACGCACAATTTTTAGGAGGCTAGTTGCTTTGTCACCATGCTTTTTGTTTCATTGTGCAGAAGATAGAATAATCGATATGTTAACCTTTTCAATTTCAGTCACTTGAAATGGATTCCACTAATGAAATCAGATTATTATGTGATATTTGCAAATAAGATTGGAATTATGAATAGAGCCATAATAAAATACTCAATAAACAATGCGATTTGTGCACAAAACCGTCATATCTTTTAATTTCAAACAGTCCTAAACGGAAGTCTTGTCTATGACTTAAAAGTCTGTCAGATGATGGAAACAATAATCAGACGCCTTTTTTTTCATTTGCCTCCCAAAATCATGAAAATAACCCAAACAGAATAATCATAAGCGAGGATGACAAATTTGACTATGCATGGTACCTATATAACACAGAGGAATAATGATTAATTTATTGTGGAAGGAAGAGAAGCGACACACAAATTGAGGTCTTCTCATTTAATAGTATAGATACGCTTCATAACACTTAACAAAATCTTATATTACAGTGTTGTCATGAAATGCAAAATAAATTTGCCCTGTTGTTAATATTTCAACCAATGCTTAGAACTGATGATGTCCTTATGTTTGACCAAATATTCATTTCCTGTTAGATTAGAATTTTTCACTAATGCCCTTTTCTTCCATAAATACAATCAGATATGACAATAAATAAAAAATAACAATACTTTATTTCCAAATGCAATAAATTTTAAAGTCAAATAATTCGTCAAATATTTTTAATGTTTACTGCAGTAATGAATGCCATGTCATAATATCATGACCTTTAAATGGACAAATATAATTGTTTACTTTTTACACATTGTGACTTGGATGGAGAGTTGTCTCATTGGCACTCATACCACATCTTCTTATTTCTAAATACCAATGTACATATAACATTTCTTTGTGAATATTATCTTTTATGGAATATACCTCACAAATTACAGATGCAATTTTTTTTACCTTGATTTGACAATCACAGATCCACAGCTCCCTAAGGAGAGCTAAAGATGACAGACCCTCAATCTTTGCAACCTGTTGGTCCATTATAACCAAACAACTGAGACTGGGAAAGAGGTTCATGCCAATAATTTTAGGATATCCAGAAAAGAACATCTCAAGTTTGTCCACATTACAAATCTCTCCATTCTGTATCTTACTGTAGTTAATTCCATTATTGGCACACTGTAAAATATCAAAAGTAACAATATATCTGGATAAAATGATTTGAACAAGAGTTACTTCCCCTTTGTCTACATGTTGGAGGTCTAAGTGAGCAAATTCCTTCACAATCCATTTTCCATTTTTAACAGTGAATCACTTACACTTATAATCTAACTATGCAAGACCATAGTAATTAAGTCTTTGAACAGCTTCTCTGTAAATACTCAGTATTTCATCTTCTCTTGACCTCTGCTTTTTTACAATTTCATTTAGTAGTAAGCCTGTTTTTGTTGTTGTTGATGATTGTAACATTGCTGGTTTAAAGGGAGGACTTGTAAACATGCATAATTTAATTTTTTCAATCATTCCATTGATGAAGATAAGAGTGATATTGATTCTTTATGGTAAATTTGTAATAATGGGTAGGTGGACAGTGATTTTCTTGTGTGAATACATACCAACTCCTTCATGCAGTCGTCCTCTTCATCTTTGTTGCTTTTACTTGGTTCTGTTGATATTGTAGATGGCGTGACATTGCCATTGGTTACAGGACCAGAAGAATCTGTTGACACAGACATTGTGGTAGCTACTTCAACACATCATATTTGGAACTGAAAAAAAATTTCTTCTGAATAAATTTTTTTGTTGAATATCAGTTGCAAAGGTAATTTGCTATTGTTACTGTTACACACAAAAATATTTCCAATATGATTTTTAATTTTAAAAAATATGAAGAAAAAAAATCTTGTGAAGTTCCTGGATGTATCAATTCATCCTGTGGGGTTTACTTGATTATCTAATACAATCTTTTTCAAATGAAAGCATAGAATACAAGCAGGGATCACTGACAGAAAAAAATCCAATTGTTGAGCTTATAAAATAATTATTTTAGCCTTTGAATCATATTTATAAATTTGTTTACCATTTGCCATGTTTGAGATACTCTTAAAACAGGTTTAATACATACAATGTAAATGTACATTTATATGTTCCAAAATGTATCATATGTTTTGTAATTTTTATGTCAAAAGATAAAAGTCTTTCTAAAATATATTTAGAATTATTTTCAAAAGATATCTCATATTAATAATCTCAAAACTCAAGGTTTATTCTGAGAAAATCAAGAGTGATGAGTGCAATAACACTACACACAATCTAGTAAGGTCAACTACAATAAACCCAGTCTTGAGTTGTTTTTTATGAATGAGTTACACCGGTTGACTTGAGGTCAATCGGCATAAATGACATCATGTCATTGATCAATCGGTTATTACAATAACGTAATAACTTAAGCATAATGACATAGGAAATTTACAGGAAAGTGCCCGAATTTGAAAGTCGTCTATATGTGTAGATGCAGTAAACAGGTAATGGCAAAAATTAGTAATTTTGTTTAATCCTTTTATTATGGCAATTTTATTGAAAAATGAATAGCTAGGTAAAATCTAGTCACCTTGGTGAAGAAAGAATGTGGGTCCGTTGCCTTGATTCACATTTGCCTTCATACCCAATCGTCCTAATTTTGGTGTCTTGTTCATGTATAATGTAAATTATTTAAATAAAGTATGTTAAACTTAGTTGAAAATTTGCTGAATATTTATGTTGTATTTGTTTGATATATTGCATCCTGAATTCCTTAATGCAAAAACTCCGAAAGCGAGGCAGCAAGGAGAGTGGAAGTTATTTATTGCACTGAGAGAGAAAATTTATTTTTTACTGTTTTGACACCAAACAATTATCACGTTTGTAAAACATTGTACAGCACACACATAGCCCATCCCAATTATTCCCTTTTTGTAGTATATTGTCCCTGTATTTTTATTATTTCTTGTGTATAATTTTGTCCTGACATTTTCAGATTACCCGCCATTACTGGCACCCGTTTGTTGATTTTGTTGATCATTTAATAAAAAAAAATATTATCTAAACTATCCCGTATGTAAAAATAAAACTGTTATCTAAATTAAAAGCTAGTTTAGTCCTTCATTTTATCTGATTTATACTTTAAAATAAAAAAAAAAAAAAGAGATTAAATTTATATCAATACTTAACTTTCAAGGTAAGTGTGGGTTGTCCGCGCTAGACCACTGAATATAACCACAACACTAATATAACAGAAAAGAAATAAAAACAAGCTTATAGATAGCATAAAACCTTTTTTTTTTTTTTTTTTTTTTTTGTTACTAAACTTTTAAGCAACTTTGTCATTTTGTATTTTTGGTCTTCTTCTTTTGTCAGACTCTAGTGGTGGATATATATTACTATTGTTTGATATAGTTCATATCTACATTCCTATTTCAGCTGAAAAAGTGTTAAATCACATAGTATATTTATGTCGTTGGCCAAACTAAAGAAGATTATTCAAAAACCATTTCATGCACCGACTACTCCTAAACTTTATACTCCAGCAATATTAGGAGATAGTATTATAGGAAGATTAAAACAACAGACAACTCTACCTATACAACAAGAAATATACTGGTGGTGTCAGGGAGGTAGAACAGCAACTAAAGCCCTGGACTGGGTCAAACAAAATCTTGACACAGAAGTACAGCTTATTCCAGAAAAAATTTGGCTATATACCGGTATTCTTATAGGAACCTGTGACTTTACATCCTTCAACAGAACAACAAAATACATATCACTGAAATTTCAAAACACTGCCGAATTAGTGGAACATGTTATCAACAGGTATAAAGAAATTATCAAAACGCTCAAGGATCTCTCACCAGAAAGCCAAGTTACAATACTGGAAATACCCTTTTTCTCTATACAAGCCTGGAATAAATCACATAAACATAAAGACCCAGAAATATTTTACGATCAAGACTGCCAACTAGAACAACAAATAATAGAAATTAACAAAGCCATTAGAATCTTGAACCATCAAAACTTTTCTCCAAATTTCAATATAGACCTGTATAGAACATCAACCAGGCAACAAAGAACCTATCAAGCAGATACTTCACACAGCTGTAGCCGTAGGCAGGGAAACACCAAGAGCCGGAGATTATATAATCTAAGCCTCTTGGACGACGGAATTCACCCAAACATCCACCTATCTAAAGCTTGGCTGAGGAAACTGACCAACCAAATATCCCGAGACTGTTGGGCAAAAAACAAAGCGCCAGAAGAAACCGATATAAATAATAATAGCTAGGGAGTAAACATCAAATCTATAGAAAAAAAAATATATCAATAAATAGGCTAAATTTAGAGGTTAGTGTGGGTTGTCCGCGCTATACCAAAAACTATACACTCACAAAGATAGGTCAGTGTGGGTTGTCCGCGCTATACCAAACATCAATCTAGTGTATATTAATATTTATATTCTAATTTTGAAATTAATAGGTTAGTGTGGGTTGTCCGCGCTATACCAAAAACCATACACTCAGAAAGATAGGTCAGTGTGGGTTGTCCGCGCTATACCAAACATCAATCTAGTGTAGATTAATACTTTATTTTAATTTTGGATTTAGTAGGTTAGTGTGGGTTGTCCGCGCTATACCATAAAAGTCTTAAAAAGAAAAAAAAACATAATATAGACTAAAAGTACTCCCTATTGTTACCAATATAAACTTCAAAATGCAGGTGCAAAAAATGAAGAAAAATTGCTCAACCGGAGACCTGCGAACCAGCACCATAACAACAAGATCCTATACCCTGGATAGAAATACTGCTCTAGAAAAAAAAATGGAGGCATGCCAGAAAGAACATATAAAATTTGAATTAAAGCCAGGAAAAAACTTTTGTCATAGAATTGAGCACTGGAGCATACGAAACCAGCAAAAATGAGATACTAAACATCCTCCAAAGTGAGGTAATGAAAGACCAATTTGTAATTCTACCCGTCCAAAATGGTGTAGAAAATTCAGGACTAACAGTAGACTCGTGTTACAAAGTATTTAACAAAAAACTTAATGGAGAAACAGGAAATATGCTAAAATTTACTATAAACATGTATCACACAACTTGCAAAATCAATGTGAATGGCAGCAGAGTGGATTTATTTATTAACAACATATTTGATAAGCTATGTGAAAAGCTAGCCAACGACCACAGAGAGATTAACATCCTCAACAACAGTATTCAAACATACCTATCTCAGATGAGAAATTGTTCCTCAGAAACCATACGAAAATCAATAGCTCAGGAAAAGAACAAGAAAGAACGGCTTAATAACCCGGATGAGGAGATCTTGTGTATTGAACAAACCGCCAATACAGAAGTTAAACAAGTCAGATCAGAAACATGCTTGAGGAAAAAAAGGGAACAGTCTGAATTTAAAGATGAACAGTCAAATCCAGCTGGTAATACTAACATCACAAGCCCTGACAACTTTATATGTCCGTACTGCAATAAATACGTAGACGAAGGGATTGGTTGTGACAGATGCGACTACTGGTACCATTACCAATGTGAAAACCTGTCTAGCAAAGTTGGAGAAAATGAGCTGAAGCAGTTAGATTACATCTGTACATTATGTAATGATGATATATTGTATGAAAGAAGAAACATAACAGAGTGTGATCCATCTACAGAAGACGATAACATAGACATATGTACCAACACAGGAAGCACACAAGATGAGCAAGAAGAGATACAACACAATGCTCAGATCAGATCAAGGAATGAACTTGATCCCATAACCATCAGTATAGACCAAGAATTACCACCCAGGTCTAACAATATACAAAACCAGATGAGAGAAAAGATAGATAGGGAAGAAACTGATTTAAAATTGATCTTTACGCCTACCACCAATGAAAGGACAGAAGGAACAGCAAAATCAAAGCAAAGACCAGTCATTGGTAATGAAACAGGACCAACAATAAACATGGCAGAAAATGTGAAGGAGAAAAGAACAAATGAGAGTCTGGTGAAAAAGAATCAAAAGGGCACCAAGAGCAAAAACGACAAAGAGGAAACTATCATTGCTCAAAAAACTAGGATACTTAACCTAGAGAATGAAATCAAGCACATGAAGGCAGTCCTAGACACAGTTACTAGAAGAGAAGAATCGCAACAAAATGTCCAAGCGCAACAACGTATAACAGACAATATACATGTAGGACCAAATAGTGATACACACAATACATACATGTACCAACAGTTACAAAACCAAATGAAGGAAATGCATCTAGAGAACAGATTAAAAATAATGGAAAATCAAATGATGCAGAACATGTGTATCCAAACTGCGCTAACCACACAAATGGCTTTACAAAATAGGCATAGCATACCACATCATCATGGATTATACCAAGGACTACCTGGAAACGGTCACTATATACAACCAAATGTAATGCAATCCTATATGCATGCACCACCTTATGCACTCCATAATACGCATATACCAACACAGCCAGTTCTAAATCCAATGTGTATGCCACCAATTCCAATGCATATGCCACCAAATATAATGCATATGACACAAAATCTAATGCAAATGACCCAAAATCCAATGCATATACCGCCAAATCTAATGCAAATGACGCCAAATCCAATGCATATACCGCCAAATCTAATGCAAATGACGCCAAATCCAATGCATATACCGCCAAATCCAATGCACAACTTTATGCAAATGCCAATGAATCCAATGCACAAC